GGCGCTTTAACGAATTTCATTTGTTTGTAATTATGGAAGTGAAACAAAAGCCTTGAGATGTCGCCAGCAACAACGACAACAACAATACCGCCAGCAACAGCAGCAGCAGCAGCATCAGCGGCAACAACATCAGTAACCCCATTATAATATGCATTAAGCAATCTGCGCGTAATTTGCATCAAAATGGAAAGCAATTTGCCACAGGGGCAACTGATGCACCACGTTACAGGGAAATAGGAAGCGTATAGAACGCACACGACTACGCTATACTCTCTATCTCCTTTGAAATATACACAACACCATAAATAAAAAAGAATAATTTCGATGTGTAATGCAATTCTGACATTCTGAAATACTACATATATATAATATAATTCAAAGTATGTGGTTATATTTTTCACACATAAATATAAACAATTCTCTATATATATAAAATCAATTAAATGGCAAGCTTACTCAGTTAGCATTCTGATAAAAAAAAAAAAAAAAAAACATCCAGACTTCTACAGATTGAAATTCTGTAATCTTATAATATTATAATTGATGTGTTCAACAACACACATGCAATAGCAATGGATCAACCTATACGCACTGATAATATAGTAGTTACTAAAATAACTACTTTCGTAGCAGCAGCAGAGACAAAGAGAGAGCAAAAACGACGTATCCGGATCTCACAATGGAAGCCATATACATATATTCTTACAGAAATACCAAGGATATAGATAAACGGAACACTTACGTCCATTTACTGAGCACAAATAAGCAACGATTCTATGATACCACAATGGGCCTCCACTAGCCTAACATCGGTGCAGCCATATGAACCCCCCTTATTTCAACAAAAGAGAACTAATGCAGAGTTATGCGTCTGTTATTTGATAACAATGTAAACAGAATCCTATATAATCAGTTGACGCATTAAAAATCGATAGTAATAGAAACTCCATTCTCCCAAACATTAGCGGAATAATCAAGCAAGTGTTGATGCCTCTAAGTCTTTCAGTTGTCGAGAACGAAACGTACAGGCGTGCAAACAAAGCCAAGTTTTAAGTACAACAAATCGTTCAATGCCGGTCACTGTAATACCTATTCGTAAAATACACCCTTTCACGTCATATGCGTGGTAAAAAAAGAAAAAAGAAAACAAAACAATGCATGCTCTTTTGCAACGCATCGGGCGTATTGAAAACAAAAGACTTAAGACACAAACTTACAAACAATGACGACAGGCGGGGAGCTGCGTGATTTGATTAGCTTGCAATGCTGTTTGATAAATTGCAGCAGGCACGCATGCAGAGCATATCATGGGCACCAATAACAACAAAAGCAACAAATCGACTTTATTTTTGCGCTGCACTTGGCGCCGCTTGGCCGGTTGGCCGCTCATTTACTTGGGTGCTGTTGCATTTAATTGAAATTTGCCGCTACGCATGTTACACTCTCTTGCATGCATATACGAGTACATATTGTGTTTTGATTTCAAAAATTATTTAAAATATGCGCGAATATGAATAAATATGAATTACAACTTGCATGTGGCATGGCGGTTGCATTTTTATAAGCTGTTAACGAAGTGTTGCAGCTTTAGTTGTTGCTATTACGCGTATGCTCTGTACCCGACAAAAAGTAAGAGGGTATAATGAAATCAGTCAAGTGTATTTAACAGCTTTTTGGTAATGTGGCGGGTCCCGCAAAGCATGACGAAATGATTTAAGTAGCCATCCTACTGTTCGGCTGCTTGAACGCGCCTCTCTCGAAAAGTCGAACAGCAAGAATCCTAAAACTTGCCATATAGTCTTTTATGAGCTGTTTCAGTTCACCTATCAAGCAGTCAAGCCCATTTCTAACACATTTTTTGTGACTAAATCCAGTCAACAGTTGGTTTTATAATGGATCAGTAAAATAGGCAATGTCATTGACACAATAACACCAAAAATGTGATGTGTCAAGTGTCAACAGATTGCTATAAAATTGCAGCCTTATCCAAGGTGACTGACACTACAAATGACTTTGACCCCACAATAGAGCGACCAACTGTGACTCGAGTAGCCGCCTCCCCCTCTATTATGTACTCTTCCGGCCCATGTCTATATCTATTTCGCTTTGTTCACAGCAAATTAGCGCAGAAAATCGCACACACACACTTAAACACAGAGACAAACGAAATCACTTTAATTGCGCACAATTTGTTCGTGAGTGGCTGGCGAGCATCTCAACAATCAAAACAGAAACAAAAGTGCGTGCGTGGGTCGCGGGCCGCTAGCGTGTCATTTAACTTTAAACTTGACTTTTCAACAGTGCCTCCATTTACAATGTCATCGCTCTTTTTCGTTCTTCCCCTCTCGCTCTTTCTCTATTTCTCCCCCTCTATCTATGGAGATCACCCCAAGCTCAACAGGAAGTGTGCTGGCTAATTGGCTTATCTTTCACAAAGCCATTTCGAACTTTATGCCCAATAGAGTGCTGGTATCTGTCAATACAACAAAAAAAACTACACCACAGACACAACATGAAGCTGTGAAGAGGGGCCAACAGGTTTGCCTGCCTGTCAGCGGGTTAACCAAACCCGTTTGCCTGCTGCTGCTGACCTAATTTCGTGCTACTTTTTTCCAATATATTCACAAGTTTTTGCACAAAAAGCTAAAAAAAAAAATAAATAAATAAATAAAAAGTGTCCAACAAGATATTGTCGAAACTTGCGTGCGCTATGGCCAGCATTGTGGCCCCAGGGCCCGGTCCGGCCACGACGCGCCCACAAGAGCAGCGTACTGGCTGGAAAGCCGCTTCAGGAATGATTTTGTAATGAGCTCCACTCCAATATAGTTATACACCTGCCTGAGTAAGTGACTGTGTGGCTAAGTGGTTGAGTAGCGCCGCTCAAGCCTTTGGCCTTTCACTGGCTTGGGTGCCGTCAAGCGGCAAAGTCCGATATCTACCTCTCAGCCGGCACAGTGGGCCAAGCGACTGGCTCAGAACGAATAAGAATAAAATAATGACAGCTGTTGTATATAAGTAATACGCGATCTACCTCTTGGGCAATTTTTATGGGTTACATCTACTACAATTTTGGATTTATAATAATTAATTAAATAATTTTATTTATTTATATTTTACATTTTGCGGCAGAAGCAATCGATATGCAATGCATTTATTATTTCTTCTAAATGCTAGCGAATATTGTTATTAGTTTAGAAAGTAGAAACCGACTTGGATACTTTACAACTGCCAAAATATTGTATTATCATCATTAAAGTAATTGAAATTTGTAATACTAGCGGGTTTTTTCGACCATTTGTAAAAGGCACGAGCGAATACCTTAAGGTCGCAAATTGCTTCAATTAAACATAAGGTTAGGCGACACTGTGTTTGTTGCTTGGGTGAGAGAAGAGGCCAACACATATTTATGGAATGGCCGGTTAAGCTTTGACTGAAACACTTTAATTGATGCATCAAGTTTATCACGATGATTGTATAATTTTAAGGATGGTCGTGATCAGCGAAATCTCTGCCAGTTTGGATTCATTTTACAATCGGCTTGCTGATTCATTTACTTACTTGCAATCAAAAAATCCAGCACAAATATAATATAACTAGCACGAAAATTTATGAGCTGTAGCTGTAAATCTCACTGTTTTGAAAAATTATGAAGCAAAAAGCTAATGCGAAAACTGCAGCAAAAAAAATTATGACAGGATGCTGTGTCATTGGAATCAGTCCAACACCTTCCCTACACCTTCATAAAATTGTGTTTATCGTTTATGTTTATGATTTTTACAGTGGCCGCATGTCCACAAACGACAGAACAAACCAATCGTAACACCCTTAGTCCTCATTTCGTCAAGTGTTTCGACACACGCCAACAATACCAACTAATACCAATATCTGTTCAAATCAAACCCATGCTAATGCCTAAGCCGAATCAAACTATTTTAGGCGCCTGATCGCAGATAGACAAGCAAATACATATGCGAGTATAAACACAACGAGCGTATACTATACCTATAGATACAAGTATATCTACGGCAAATGCCCGCAATAAACCAAAAATATATTTACCAATCGAGCGCGCCAATTATGCGCGCAATCGAAAAGCCCAACTTCACAACAACAATAACAACAACAGCAGCAGCAACAACAAGCTATGTTATTGTTACGTCAGCAGATATATTGTAATAAAATGAACTGCCGAACTGGCGTCGACTGGTTGAAAGACCACAACAACAACAACAACAACAACAACTGCAACATCATCATCATCATCACCAGCAATAGCAGAAACCAAAGCCACAACAACAGCAGCAACAATTTAACAACAAAGCTCACGTCGCGTTTATTTGTAATGCAGTTAACGGCATTTTTGTGGCTTACATTATAAATTGTTTGTCGACCGGTCTTTTTGTTGTTGTTGTTGTTGTTACTTTTTAACGATACGCGTCAAGGTCGTTTGGCTATCGGGGGTGTGTGCCATGAGTATCTGACGCAAGCACCGCTAACCGTATTGTCAACCTATAAGGTAGTCTGAGTTTCAGATTGAATAAACAATATTAGCGATATGGACATAGCGTTCGAAATTCAAACAAAGAGTTCGCCGCTCTTTTCTTCCTAAATGGGAGTGAAACGGCTTCCGCTTTTGGAGCGTAGGGAGCCAATCACCTTACGACCTCCCATCATATCTTCTTCTGGCGCCTTTTATGCCATTTGCTGGCTACAACAATTGTGATTGATTAATAAAGGGGATTATTAACTGCCCTTACTTTATTGGATATCTACAAGTATGCATTTGACAATAGCTAATATATGTTTTCCTTTTCAGTTGCACGTAACGACGAGCAAGGCCAAGTACGATTAGGTCCAGCAGAGCAACGCCATGCACAGGAGAAAGAAACGCTAGAGAAAGAGAGAGAGAGAGAAAGCTACTACACACACACACACACACGCTATACCCTACACCCAACCCCCCTGCCCACTGGCACACCAACGACAAATAACGAACAGCTATGGTGCTCAACCTACTCTTCATTACAACTGTCATCAAATCCACATTCGGTGTGGTAACCACCGGCCTGTGGCTCATACCCCTAATGTTGGCCGCCATCACCTATTATCGCTACGATGCCGTCGATCCCGAATCCCGACCGCTAGACCAGCTAAATCTCTGGCCTGAATATGACTTTATTGTCGTGGGCAGCGGTTCAGCGGGTGCCGTAGTGGCCAACCGATTGTCCGAGGTGCGCAAATGGAAGGTGCTCCTCATAGAGGCGGGGCCGGATGAAAACGAGATTTCCGATGTGCCCTCGCTCGCTGCTTATCTGCAGCTCAGTAAATTAGACTGGGCCTATAAGACCGAACCATCGAATAAAGCCTGCCTAGGCATGCAAAATAATCGCTGTAATTGGCCGCGAGGTCGAGTACTAGGCGGCAGTAGCGTGCTCAACTACATGCTCTATGTGCGGGGCAACCGGCACGACTACGACCATTGGGAGTCGCTTGGCAACCCAGGCTGGGGCTACGAGCAGGTGCTGCACTACTTTAAGAAATCTGAAGACAATCGAAATCCCTATCTGGCTAATAGCGCCTACCATGGTCGAGGCGGCCTTCTAACAGTTCAGGAGTCGCCATGGCACTCGCCTCTGGTCGCCGCCTTTGTGGAGGCGGGCACTCAGCTAGGCTATGACAATCGTGATATCAATGGTGCTAAGCAGGCGGGCTTCATGATTGCTCAAGGTACGATACGACGCGGATCCCGCTGCTCCACAGCCAAGGCATTCCTGCGACCCATACGCCAACGGAAGAACTTCCATTTGTCGATGAACTCACACGTCACACGCGTCATCATCGAGCCGGGCACGATGCGCGCTCAGGCCGTGGAGTTTGTCAAACACGGGAAGGTCTATCGCATAGCAGCAAGGCGGGAGATCGTTCTGGCGGCGGGCGCAATAAACACTCCCCAGTTGATGATGCTATCGGGTCTGGGGCCGCGAAAGCATTTGGAGAAGCACGGCATTCGAGTGCTGCAGGACCTGCCTGTCGGTGAAAATATGCAGGATCACGTCGGCATGGGAGGCTTATCATTTTTAGTGGACAAGCCCGTGGCCATTGTTCAGGATCGCTTCAATCCCACCGCCGTTACCTTTCAATATGTGCTGCGCGAACGTGGTCCCATGACCACACTGGGTGGTGTGGAGGGTCTAGCCTTTGTGCATACGCCCTACTCGAATCGCAGCATAGATTGGCCGGACATACAGTTCCACATGGCACCAGCCTCCATTAACTCAGACAATGGTGCGCGCGTTAAGAAGGTTCTGGGCCTCAAAGAGTCTGTGTACCAGGAGGTCTACCATCCTATCGCCAACAAGGACACGTGGACGATCATGCCGCTGCTGCTACGTCCGCGATCACGTGGCACCGTGCGTCTGCGCTCTCCCAACCCCTTCCATTATCCACTCATAAACGCCAACTACTTCGACGACCCGTTGGACGCTAAAACGCTGGTTGAAGGCGCCAAGATTGCGCTCCGCGTAGCCGAAGCCAAAGTCTTTAAGCAGTTCGGTTCACGACTCTGGCGCAAGCCCCTGCCCAACTGCAAGCAACACAAGTTTCTGTCTGATGCCTACCTTGAGTGCCACGTGCGCACCATTTCGATGACCATATATCACCCGTGTGGCACGGCCAAAATGGGACCCGCCTGGGATCCCGAGGCTGTGGTGGATCCGCGACTGCGTGTCTATGGTGTGCGCGGTCTGAGGGTCATCGATGCCAGCATCATGCCCACCATTAGCAGCGGCAACACCAATGCACCGGTCATTATGATCGGTGAGAAGGGCGCCGATCTCATCAAGGAGGACTGGCTGAAGAATCCCGAGTACAAAGTAAAGCGGCACAGTAGCGCTGGCACTGGCAGTGGCAGTGGCAGTGGGGACGAGGCAAGCCATATTGCTAACGATGCCCAGGCGGCCAACAACAGCACCAATGTCATCAGCTAGCCAAGCCTAGCCAACGAACTATCAGTCAGTCAGTCTGCCAGTAGGCCAGACAGTCAGTCAGTCAGCCAGCTCAGGGGCCACAACTAGCTTTACAATCGCATGTTGCTAACAAACAAAAGTTTGCCATTGTTTAAACATATGTATCCGCCATAGCCACAGACAAGCACATTGTTTGTTTACATTGGACCAGCCCAGAAAGCAAACACAGCACGTCGCGTTTTAGGCCCGAAAAATCTTTTCACCCAGCGCCACTTTCCATTGCATCATCTGCTTTGATGTGTGTCTCCAGCTTCAAATAATCCTCAAGTCGAAATTGTTGCAACGGCAATGCATGAAATCGAGTCATAAATTAACTGTAGCTATATATTTGTATTCTTAGCTATAAATTGTCTACTTATGTACCTACAATGTATTGTGTGTACGCTTTAAATCAAGCTGTATATGTTTTTTTTTTTGTTCGCTAATTAGTTTAGTTTATTATTATTTAAAAAAAATATTATTGACTATTTATAAGCTCATTCGCATACATATTTAAGAACTAGTATTAAGAACATGTAAATGTATATAAATTAAATAGAATATTTTACAAAACAAGGAATGCTTAACGAATGCATATTATGCTGAGGCTCTCACATCAATGACATTGTCAAATAAGTTGGCCAGCTCCACAATATTGGTCTGCGAAGCAGGTCCTAAACAAAACTGGAAGAGTGCTGATTAAGATAGAACTACAACAAATAGGCAGATAGCCTACAAAGCCTATCCAATTCAGCTCTACGAATAAGACATTACAGTAGTAATAAAGAAGGAATGGTTTCCACTCAAAAAATCAATCCACAATCTAGAAGCCTGATCCAAACTTTAAGGCGAATATTAGTTGCCTGTACTTATGTATAAAGATAAAGACTACAACAATAACACAGATTGTGTTATTAGACCAATTGTTTCACAACAAAAAATTATTCAAAAATATATTTAAAACCATCCATATTTTTTTCTGCATCTATAGTTCGTAATACATCTGTCTGCAAATCTCCAAATGTAGTCATGTTCCAGGAATTGAATAAATAGAGAAGATATTTAGTTATCTACCAAGACAAACAAGCCCTTTTAGGGATTAATTTTAATACCTCGAATTCGAAATCAAATGGCGATTTTAAATCGCAAATTACATCCGGATTTTCAAACGTAGCACGCAGAAGGAAGCATCTCCGATCCCATAAAGTATACTCCTATATATTCTAAATCAGCATGACGAGATAATCAATCTGCATCTGTCCCTCCGTCCGCCTGGATAAACGTCTGAATTTCTAAACCGATTGAGCCTACATCCCCAGCCCACGCAAGTTTATTTTAATTTTTTTTATTTTCCCCCTTCCTCCCCCCTCTACAAGAGCGTGTTCGACTGTATCATTCTGGTTTTCTAAGTGCTGACAAATAATTATATAATAAGAAAAGTTAAATCGCGGTAACCATTTATAGCATCCGCCAAAAAGTATGCATGCAATTTTATCGAAGTTCAAGCAAATTTCGAGCACAGCGAAGATTTGTCGAAGATGAGCGATTTGGTTCGACATCGATTACTATTTATAATTCTGCTTGAAAATGTTATGAACTACAAGTAGTTGCAATATTCCGGCAATCATTATTAAACAAACATTTGACAATATTTTCAGTTGACAAATGTAGAAGACTCTGTAAAAATGAATATGCAATGCATCCATATAACGAAATCAAAAATTGCAAACATCATTAAAGCATTATTTGGCTTATTAACTATTTGGATAATTGTTGGCATAGAAACGTTTTGAAGTTCTTTTAAAATGCCGATAATAAAACCAAACATTTCCAGAGAGGGAATGCAATGAAGTTAAACCCGTATATTGGTATTATATATATGATTTTTTTATTATTTTATTATTATTATCTGCACACAACTAGCATTTCATTCTTCTTTTATTCTTTGCTTGTTCTAAAAGAAAACAAAATGAGCTCCTGTAAAAATTGTGGGAAACCCAGCCAGCGGTTTTGCCTTGTCAGTTAACTTTTTGGCAACTCATGATTCGTTAACATCGAATGCCTACATTGGTAAGAGTCCGGTTTTCTTCTTGCATTTAATAAGGTGCAAAACGATTTCAATGAAATGTTTTTTCCACACGAAGCACTGCTCAAGTTTAAATTTATTACTAGTTTGATGATCGCTTAATCGTATAGGTATTATTTAATAATGTGATAACTAAAGCTTAAGTCCAATAAAAAATTATACTACTGCATTTAAATGTGTGAAGCAGAGGAATGCGATTAATAAAGATACATACTATATGTATCCATTTTGATTGATATTTTCAAGCTTTTTTTTTCGAAATTCAACTGTTGGTGCCATAAGTCCCTGTTTTTTACAACAGATTGGAGATTGAAAATTCTGAACTAAATTCTTGTATACCCCCACTATATCTCTCTATTCAGTCATTGGAGTAAAGCAAATGAACATTTGACAATTAACAACAAGTAGAACGTTACAGTCTTGTCCAGCCGACTTATGAATACACTTCCAATATCCCAATCATTCCTACGGCAGGTAAAGTATATACATAAGTAGTTAAGCGAGTTGAATTAAAATTTAGCATACTTGTATATTGAGGCATTTTTAAAACTCTATGCTAAAGAAAAGTGAGTTTCTATTAAACCTAATTCTACACCGCTCATTCCTTTGACTGTTACTTGATATTATGGATAAATATCTTGTTGTTGGGGCATTTTTTTTTTTTGCAAAGTTGATATAAAAGGAAAGAAAGATTTCGAGTAGGGGAATTGATTAACCAATTCTTAAAATTACATTTCATGTGTGTAGATTAGTGATCAAGAAATGATATTTAATATCCTCTAATAAATACAATAATAAATATCCTAGGTATCTTATCTGTTGGGTATCACATAATAAATTCTGCTTTAATTGCAAATAACTTAGCTGTTAATACAACAGAATGAAAATTAGTTACTACATAAAATATCTAAATTGAACTTCGTAATACAGCCGAAATCATAGCAATCCAAAAAGCAATCGCAATCTGTTTATAAAAACCCAGGAAACATGCAATATGTTCAGATTCACTTTCTTCCCTTACTGCCATAGCCAACTTCGACAACCACCATTACTATCCTACCCCAATCAGATCAATATTACAACACAAATGCCCTAAAATAAAACTTATTTGGGTACCTAGCTACAAGAATGTTACTGGAAACGAAACAGCAGATTCTTTTGCAAAACTGGCCACAGCTCTTCCTCTTATTTACACCCCCAACTACAATTCCTCCGACATAACCCTAGCTCTAAAAAATTATTTTACTCATCCTATGGGTACCAGCAAAGCAACGCCGACAATTTATATCTCCTTGACCTGTACAATAACAATCCGCAAAAACTCCTATCAAGAACAGAACAAATAAAACTTAATAGAATTCGCCTTGGACATACCGCATTAACACAAACACATTTCATGGACCAAACTCTATCTAAACACTGCCCTTTCTGCAATAACGCGCTAATAAACATTGCACATATCCTCACCTCATGCCCCACACTCCATCTATTTTCAAAAAACATTAACCCCATCACCTTAATTGCAAACCCATCAATACATAACTCCAAACTCATATTTAAATATTTAAAAGCCACAAAATCTAAACCCAGTCCCCATACATATGTATTCCTACTTTTTTCTTTAACACTGTAAAATGTACACACAAAGTTAGCTGAAGGCCCTAGTAGCCATTGCTAACATAATCCTCTTCTGTTAGTTTTAAGATTTTAATCTTAAGCTAGCATTATATAAATAAATACATAAATAAAACTTCGAAATACAACTCCTGTTATTCATCCAGCAGTAATGAATTCAAAATATTCATACCAGTAGTTTATATCTTAGCTCTTAAATCCAAAAAAACTAATCGATTGTACTATATAGCATGAATTATATCAACTGGGCCTACAGTTTTCCAAGAAAAGCCAGATTACTGATTTTGGTGTCTCTAGCTGATATTTTTTAAAAGTTATCGACGTTCGTACGGACGTACAAACGGCCGTAATGTGTAGAGTCGTCCCATCATTATATACAAATACAAGTATACATATAACTGTAGCTCGGAGACTGTCACACCTTTTTTCATGCAATTGAAATGACGAATTTAAATTACTTATGAGTAGACCCCCTTCAGGTATAGGGTATACAAATTTATAAAGATCAATTAAGGTTATTGCTTTGCCGCTGCAGCTCTGACAATTACTGTGTCTCCCACTTATTAGAGGCGCATGTAATAAAATGTGCAATTAGTATATAAGTAGTATGACCCCTGAAATGTGCGGGTATTTCAGTTGAAGTCTATTTCTTTCCAAAACGTAGCCTAACACCAGGCGCACCCATAAAATGCTCGGCCGTTAGCCAAACGGTGACAGGGCACGAAACAAACGTGTAAATTTGTTGCTATTGGTGACGCCAGATGGCTGAGAAGATAAAAGTCGTTTAGCCCGGCCATAAATTTACAAAACTTGTAGAGGCCCGAACGAGCAGTTGTTGCGGTCAATGGTTTGTGGCCGAAGAAGCGAAACAGAAATATGTTAGTAAAACCAATAAGCAGCCAAAAACAAAGAGCAGTCGCCTTAACATATGTCAACAATGTTCAACTTTGAACTTGTTATATGACATACAAGTAGATGTAGATAGGTAGAGATATTTACTTATATAAGTAAAAGACAGACAAGTTACGAAGGCAACGCCTATTTGGGCTGTCAGTTGTCGACGCTATAAATCATCATCATTGACAGAATAGACGAATGAGCGCGACCTCAGACAACAATTTTCATGTCTATAATAGCGGAAGCCGGAACTGAACCATCGCTATCAACCATACACTAAATGCGCCCTAATCAATGCAAATTAAATAATGCTTTTCCGCTACAACGGAAATTTTCGCTTGGCCGCCAGCCCCAAAAAGTGACAATGAAAAGCACGCAATGAAGCCAATGAATAAAGTTAAAAAAAAAAACAAACATATATAAAACAGAAAAAGTTCTAATTAATGCTGGCCGATCTCGACGGCTGCTACACAAGACACATGCTAATGGCGAATTAATGTAAATATTGTTGTTGTTGTTGTTAATGTGGCTATAGCTGCTGCTGTATCTGCTGTTGATGCTTCAAATTTACAACAGCAGGCCCAGACCGGATCGCCAGCCCAACTCCATGCACATCGCACATTTAACGGCCGTTCGCACGATCGCGGGCAAGTTCAAGGTCTCTCTCTCAGCGCATTTTGTTTTATTATAATTGCTTGGCAATATTGCGCATACGCCACGTGCACGCCCCCATTAATAGCGTGCACCAACAGCGGACAAGTTAATGCAGTCTAGCTGGGCATCTGAACGAGCGCCTCGTCTACGTGACCAATCGATGTGCGATCATCGCATTGAGCCAGCTGCCAAACAATACAAAGAGAGCGATCGTTAGAGAGCTAGGCTATAAGCAAAACAAAGACCTTTAAAGCAAAAACTTTTTGCGTTCATGCCAAGTCTGAAAACAGTGTCTCTTATACTCTTTATTCGAAGGGTCAAAGAGCATATTGGTTATATGTCCATGTATGTAACAGAGCTGCGGAACAAGCTTAGCGGGTCTGCTTGTCTGCCTCCTTATTCGTGTTCGTCATTCAATTTAATTTTCGTCACCTCTCTGCCTCTTTTTCCGTTTGTCCCTTGAACAGAAAGCAATAACTTATCTTCTTTGGGCTAACCAGTTTGCTTCTAAATTTCAACCATTTCTGCCCATTTCTGAATATATAAAGGGTAATCCTGTAACGTCTAAGTCTAAGTATGCAAAATGAATAATGACAAAACTTTTCATTCTTAAACAGCTGTTGTCAACTTAATATTATTTACCTTTTACAATTTTCAGGCACGATTTAAAGTAGGAAGGAAGAGGAGCTTGATCGTAGCAGGGACAATAGCTAGCAAGATGACAAGAAAATAAAAAACAAATGCCTTGCCTGCATTTAAAAAAAAATTGTTTGAAACTAAACGCCAGAGACCATCTAAAATATCTTAATAATAGTGTATGGAACAAAGAGTAAACTGCTGATTAAAATGTTCATATTTTAGACTTTTGAGGAATACCCACACAACTCTTAATAAGATAGCAAATAAAATGCCAGAATAGGAAAAAATGCATAAATAATACTCTAAGCAGCAACTGAATATAAAAATTTGAATTCACAAATTTGGCAGCCAAGAGAAGACAAGAGATCGCGAGGGAGAAGCTTTGTGTTTATAAATTATAGAAATAAACGTATTGTTACTCGTTTGTATGCAATATATTGTTTGCTCTTCTGCATAAAAATTTACCAACAAAAAATATAGCAATGTAGATCAGTTTCTTGAGACATTGCAACGGCACGTGGCAAGGACAACAGTGCAGCTACATACAAGTATGTCTATAATTCCATTCTAGCCCTGCTCGAGAGCTTAGCCGCTGCTTTAAACGCTACAGCTTCAGACCTAGCACAAGATCGACTCACAAATTCGCCAACTTAGGCCAATCCAACTGGGTCAATGGCTGACGGAAGTATTTCTTAAAGCTTTTTTTTTTCTTTTTAGCCAACAACTGCAAAGTATTGGTTGAACTTCCTGTCATAGTCGCCGTTGTTTTACCGCTACAAACTGGGCTTAGCGTTCGAGTTAGAGGTCAATAAACTTGTTATACTCTGATATGATTTCTGTTTGCAGCTGCCAATCGTGCAGCGGCCGTTAGGCCAAGCACACAATTGACCCAGACCTAGTGAACTTGAGAACTCATGGCCAAGAAGTTTTGTGTTCGAGTATGCGACCAGCGACACATAAATCAATATTAATATTTTACTTATTCTCGACTCGATTTGCATTTTAATGGGCCGACCGCCCCACAGGCCACAAGGGATCGTCACTTACCTGTAAGAAAAACAGAAACAAACACAATATATATTCGTATTAGAATTAAATAACCATAATTATGAGACATGAGTTATGTATGGGTGCGATAAATCTTAGATTAGGTCCCTCCTATAACTATGCATGCCCCTTCTGGCCGTAAACATTACAACGCCGCATTAAAATTAATGTTTATGGCCTAGACAACTCGCAATCACTTAAGCCGTTAGCGGAAGTAACTGAGACGCTCTGTAACCGGTCCAGAGCGTGGGCCAAGAGCAATTGAGATGTACGAGTATACGACAACGGCCCTGTATTCGATTAACTGCCCTGTTACAGCACACTAGCATAGTGACCCATATCTGGGCGAGTAGCCGTTGGCGCAACTAGAAAAACAAAAGTGCTGTGAAGTGCCGAACTGGCTGCTGCTAATGGCTACAGGTTTTCACATTCGGCTCTAAAAATTCTAAGTCATGCCCTTGACTCAATTAGCTACGTCACGATCGACGTTTGTTGTGTGCTAAGCGCACGGAAGTGCTTGAATTGGTGAGAAAGTATAACTCAAATGAACAAGTTTGGTTTACGGCTAAGACATTTACCCAGCATTAACATTAAAAACGCCAACATTAAGAATGAATACAAGGTAAGCAAATGAAGTGGGTGAATCATGATAATAAACGTATAAACAGGCCTACCACTAAATCGCTTTGTTAATAAATGCATGAACTTGTGCTAACAAATGGACTCATTGTTATACTATGTTTAGTGATTGAATACATGAATGCCTATGTGTTTGAGTTAAGTGACTCAAAACTATTGGAAAAACTAAAGATACAATTTATAGACAACAATTTTACAATTTTACGCATTCATGGATTCTTACAATGGCTTTTTTATATCTATTCGCATATTTCGTATGTTCTAGGATAGTAAATGCATTGAATTAAATAAATGTAGCCAATGAATGTAGCCTTCATGAGTCAAAACTATCGTAAACGAATTACTGTACGCTTTGATTAACTAAATTCAATAAAGGAATTAGGAATTGTGTGAATGCAGTGGCTGTTTGTTTGATAGAAATCGCTTTGTAAATAAATATATTGTTAAAATGTTTCAAAAAGCTTAAAAACTTAATATTATAATATTGATTTATATCTATAACTTTTCACAATTTTGACGAAACAATCTCTTCGATAAACGCTTCCGATTAATGTTTCAAATAGTAATAATCATAACTACTGTAAAACGTATTTAAACACAAGTAAAATTTTCTTAAAACCGATTGTTTGTACGCCTTGGATATTAAGTTTGTCAAACATGACGTTAAATTTGTGTGATTTTATAATGTTTAGAAAATCATAATTCCTTAATATCACAATTTTTTGTACAGCTTTAATTGAAATTTGATACACACATTCGTGTACATAAATATTTTAGACTTTTATGTATTTGTTCATGGAATTTAATTATATAATATTGTAAGTTTATAAAATCATTATGTTGGAAAAACTAAACATCCAATTGTTTAGATTGAAATCGAAATGTTCATAGAAAGATCTGTCGCATAAATGAATGGTTTCCTCTTTAAATTATGAATATATGGATCCATTGTCTCAGCCAATTATTTCTGCTTCATATGCTGGGACATGTAATATTTTGGGGTATATTTTATACTAAACAGCCTCAAATGTATTGTATTTGAAATGGTCAGCAACCACAGATTCTAGACTTCAATGTAAATTCATTAAGCATAATTATTAATTATGCGAATAAACCTTCATTTAGCAAAAGAAAAAAAAACTGCTAGCTGTAACGAGTGACTGGGGAATCACTTTAATTATCTTCACTTAAATAGGCAGTTACTGGAATCGTGCCTAGAATACGTTGAATAATAGTAAATCACAATAAACATCTTAGAGAAGATAGCAGAATGGAAAAAAGTATTTGAATCACCCACAAAGTAAATAATTCATAATTCACGCTCATTCAAATGATTGTTGCGAATTCTTTGTATAGAATGTATCAATTAATTCACACAGCCTGGCAATCGCGATCACAATAAATCACCGCGACACTAGACAATAATGTTCCCCCTCGCCCCCAGCATTTGTATTCATAATCATAGAAAACAAATCTACTAACTGATTGCAGATTGAAGATAGCCATGACAAAGCTGTTCACATCGCAGCAAAGCAACAAAGACCGACCACTCGAACAGTTCGCCAGTTGAATAACATTTCAATATGACTATAATACACATAATTGCTGTTCATACATGCAATATCAGTGTGTGTCTCTGTGTGTGTGTGTGTGTAGTTTATATTTTTAGGCTCAAATACAAGCATCAATTGTTGAACTGTCAGTCTGTCTGTCTGTCTGTCTGTCTGTCTGTCTGCCTGTCTGTCTGCTGTCAATTGTCAGGCAATTGAAAACCCACAACAGTTGGTAGCTCTTTGTTCGCTGCTATATTTGTGCTTCTAAGCCGTACCATTAAAGTGTGTAATTATTTGGGTTTGATTTATAAATGGAACTATGTATGCTTTTATTATATTCAAACACTTCAGCACCCCTAACCCCTGCCGGCGACGAAATCGTTTGCACAAATGTGTCGGTTGATTGTGTAGATCAAAGCGGCTTAAATTGGCCAATTTGGTAGCGACGTTGGCGCCGTCTCTAGAGTTCCATGCACTTGAAATAGAACTTGGAACAGGAAATGTGCGGTGAAGTGTAGTTAACAGGCAGAAAGTTTTCATGAGCGACGGGGGATTAGGGTGGCTGGAACATGGGTTGAAACTTGAACTTTAACTAAAAGTCTTGCAATCACCTACACGTGTATAACCTCATTGCATAGGGTCAAGTCATCGCACGAATCTGAGCTTGAAGTTCTGTCATCCAAATCCCTATTTGATCCCAGCAAGCAATGATGGGAGCCAGGATTCTGCGAGCAGTGTTTGTACCAAGCCGCATTCTCACGATTTATACCCAAAGCGACCAAAATTCGCTCGGAAACGTTCTGCACAATGCGGGCAAGAGCTCGAATGACGCTGTTGCATCGATTGGCCAGTGGTGGTTTGGCAGCAGGTCCTGCCTCCTTCGAGCCATTCATGCCATCCATGCACACAAATACTGATACATCGTTCACGTTCTCTTCTTCAAATGCCTCTAGGGTTTGAGTAAAAGCTTCGCAATAGGCCGATGCTTCCCCCTCAGTCGATCGCCTTGGTCTGGGCATTTTGTTAATATCAGGACCCAGTATTGCTGACCTAAGCAGTGCAATTATTTGCTGCTTAGTGGTGAATTGCGTCATGCCTAGGTAGGAGAAGGATCTAGCCATTACATAATATTTCTTCCGGCTAGCCCAATACTTACCAGCACCCTAAAGACGATAAGAACTTTCGAAAATGTTTCGAGTTCAAATCGGTTCCATAGCTGCTGACAACAATTATAGACTTTTGAACTGAAATCTATTTCAAAGGATGCTCTTCTTGCTTCTTGCAGCTATCGGTTTGTTTTGTTTTGTACTTTTTTTTTTGTACTTAAAATCGCCTACTAATGATGACCATCGATATTCTGCAAGATTTGGCTTTTTGCCATAAAATCAATTCCCCATTTTTGTTTAGCCATTTAATGGTCTTCCTCGCATATATTTGCCCTTTTAATATTTACCAAAGTTGTCATCGAGTTTAAAGCTTAAAATGGAACTTGAAAAGTGGCAAAACTGGAAGATGAGGCAGGCATGAAAAAAAAAAACCCCAGCCCAAAGTTAAAATTCCAGAAATAGATTATCGCACCAAAAACGAGTCGGGTGGCTCCATAAAAACACTTGTCAGTCGAGAACATTTAGCGGTGAGCCGCACATACTAAAGCATTACAAACTTATATGTATGTATGTGCTCGTATGTATGTATATGCTTATGTTAATGCGATTTTGGCTAGACGACGTTTGTAGACCTACAAGTCATGCTTGGCGGCACGACAGCTGAGTCAACACGAGCAAAAAGGCCTTAAGTAATTCTTAATTCCCTTTTTCGACAGATTTAAGATTGTTGCAAAATGTTTTACCCAGATTTACAGCTCAGAACGCTGTAGTTTCTCAGCTTTACTCAGATATTCCTTTCAACCCACAACAACCTCACATTATATTTGATGGTCTTCAATGTCAATGAGTAACCAAATGGCTGCAGGTTGTGGCCCAAGACCGAGAATTGCTAATACTTGTAGCTGCATAAACAGCAATAGCAACAACTGTTGCCAGTTTTAGTCACAGCCCGAAGTCGGTCAAAGACAACAACTCGCAAAATTCTTGACTATAGAGTCAATCATCGTTTTGCGAATTTCCAAACCGGCAACGGCAACGGCAACAGCAGCAACAGCAACAGCAACCACAAGCCCATTGATGGTAGGAGAATAAAAAATAAAAATAACCAAATACTTTAATTGCCGTTAGTCGCGACGCGAACTTCAAGCGTGTTGCCAACAATTGCGAAATTACACACCACATGCCGTTGTTGTTGCCGCGGAGTCGAAATATGCCGCCTGCAACTTGCGACTTGAATGTCAGTTGTTCTCAACCAAACCTTGGCTGTGGTTATGACTCCGCCGATTGTCAACACGCACAAGAACTTGACCAAGCCGCCATTATATACATGCATTCATATACATATACATACATATACTATGTGAACATACAAGTATATAATGTAAGTATGGGTCCATCTTCCACCTCATTGGCATGCGAGCCCCGTACGTGCAACCCATCCTTGAACTCCTGTTTGGTTGACTGTTCTCGACCCAGAAGAACGACAATTAATCAACAACTACTTGCACAACAGCGACAGTCAATTGTTGAACAGTTTCGTTATTACCAGTATTATTATTATACTTTTTTATACTATCTTCTTTTTTTGTATGTCATGCGGCCGCTGCGCTCGACTGCATCTACAGTCTATGTGCCTCTGAGCCCAAGTCTTGGATTCTACACCTTATATCTTAATGTTTTGTCTCAACCGCTCGTTTCATTTCTCATTAAAAAAAAAGCAATAATTCAGTCAGGCACAGTTAATTCGCATGTAAGCGGAAATAATTATAAAACCGAAGCTTTGGCAGTTCATTTAGAACCCAAAGGGGCGGATTGACCATCTAAGGCGGGGGCACTCAACCGGCATTCTCTATTCAAATACCAGTAGTTGGCAAATTTATTTACATTGAAATTCTCATTCAAAGTGACTGCAACATTCGATTGCATGCAAGAACAATCACTGTTTATCGTTGGGAGGCGGAACTTCGAGGTGAGGGCGCCGAACGATCGCTACGATAACTATGAACGTACTTACGATATTACGACATCAGCGTGCATTTTACGACGAGCGAATATTTATAAAACTTTCCTTTTATCTAACTGTTGCCATATCTTTAGGGCATATTAGGTTGGGCTGGCTGCTTAACCTAGAAGAGCACATACGATTCAGATGCCTAGAGTATTCCAACTCAGCCTCAAGTACTCCAAAACTTTAAGACATCACGAAGACCTGCACGTTCCACTATTAAGGCATATTAGAATATACTTCGAAATATCTGATCTTTATGAATCGTAATGGAACGATAAATAAGTGAGAACGGGTTGGCTTCCAAATATGAAAGGGCAAATTCAAAGAAGTGCAGCAACTTTAGACAAATATTTAAAGCAATGGGGTGCGGATTTAAATTTAAAATGTTCAGAGAACCTGTATACCAAGTTTGATAAGTCTTTTTCAATTCTCTCGAAATACAAGCGTTCAAGCTCACAAATACTTGAACGTAAACTGTTGGACATACAGACAGTTCGTTTCAGCATGCCCATATAAAAACAAATGAAGAATAGGACGGTCCCATCAAGAAGGAAACATAGTAGTATGCCTAGTGATCGTGACTGAAAAATCAAACGGACCTGGGCAGACTGATTATGGTAGTTTGCCGGGCGAATGAATAATGTACACTCATATATCCAAGATAATTCCATAGATGATATTTAGTCATTAATTTGTTATATTACATTACTCTTGGCTGTATGCATTAACCGGGAATTCCATGAAAACTAACCGTAACTTTGTAAAAAAGGAAAGAAACATCTCCAAAACATAAATTTTCACAAAGCTTTTGGACTAACGTACACAAAGTTTTTTTTTTCATACATTGAGTAATCACCAAAAACTCTCTGAAAAATGCCCAATTTCGCGCCATATTTTAATTCTAAATCGCACCAACAACGTGTGCCAATCCTCACCGCTTTTAGCTAAATTCATTTGCCAACGAAAGGAACGCTTTATATAGAAAATGAAGAGAAAACGCTTTATATAGAAACCCGATTTTTGAATGTTCTCCAGTATCTCTGCTACTGTAATTCATTTAAAATATACCTTGTTGTGGCAATCCTTTCCTTTACGACAGCAAACCAATGTTACATGGAGCCAAAACTAATATGTATAACATATTTGCTGAAGATATCTTTAAAAACAAACGTCATGTTTTATTTGTGATTTGCAATAAACTTGATAAGAGATAAGTGTACATAACAAGTTTGGTGTCCCTAGTTATTTTGGTTCAAAAGTTGTTGGTGTTCGTACAGAATTAGTCTTTCTAGTATATCCCATTACAAGCCCTACTCACATTGCTCTTTATTTTGATATTAAATGATTCGGCTATACCCTCCTACCCTCCTACAGGGTGTAAGCGATTGACTGTAATTTACAACTTGTGTGTATTTTTCTCTCTAATGGGTTCTTTAATAGAGAGCGAATAATCTTGGATACAATGTACGTTGATTTGGCACGTGTAGACTAATTTGCGCTAACTACAGTTTTTTTTACACCCTGTACCCGAAGATAAAAGGGTTTATTAGGTTTGTGCAAAGCATGTAACAGGCAGAAGAAATCATCTCCGACCCCATAAAGTATATATATTTTTGATCAGAGAAATCGATCTAGACATGTCCATCCGTCTGTCTGTATGAACGCCTGGATTTCGGAAACAGCTGAGCGTACATTAACCAAATCTAATGTGGACGCTCCTAGCCCTTAGTCTATACGATTGTATTTTATTTTTTTGATTGTCCCCCCCTTTTTCCCGCTACAAATTCAATTCTGTCCACACTCATAAGCTACATAAACTTTGCACAAGTAATCTATTTACAATTATCTACTTTGGCTTAAAATTTGATTTAAAACGGTCAATTCTTAGAAAAGTTATTAGCGAAAAAATGTCACTCCAGTAAAACTACACTCCCACAAACTACAGCATCAAGTTCGCTCTTCTTCTTCTTTTTGCTTCGGATAAGGGCCTGGAGTTAGTCTGGGTACAGGGTATTTCACTGTCGGGCTAGCTCGCCTGTAGCGTTCTCTCTTGTTTCTGTTGCAACATGCATTTCATGCGACATTTGCGACCTTTTGTAAAACTAGGAGCTACTGTAAATCGAGGCTTTAAAATTATATTCTGGTTTTAATTTGTGCTGAGTGCATTGTCTGAAAATGTTTCCCTGGCACTTGGGTGTCTAAGACATTTAAATATAAATTGGTCTGGAATTTTGTTGATTAATCATCCTGCATATGTGGCCAATCAAATGCGATATGTAAATGCGATTCTGATCACGTTCTTGCATAGCTGAACATTAGCCAAGAATCACTGACCAATGACATTGTTAGCAATCAGATCTAAAATGAGCTGCCGCTGACTCAGCGCGTTCCAAACAATCTGCTCCGCTCTGGCCCATCTCGTGCTGCTGCGAGTGCATTAAATATACCGCTTGTGCAGATCATTGCCTATAAATTTCCCCTGTTGTTACTAATTGGTTACCCAATGTGCGCGTCGATTAAATGATCGATAAGTAGGCCTGAGGTAGGAGAACGAGAGGTAGTAATCGATTACACGTGGCTATCATCATAAATACAATTCCGCGCGCGGCTTGCCCAGCAGTTGGGTGAGAACAGTGCACACCTTAAGTTCCTTTCCATGGCTTATCTATGGAAATGCGCCCCATGAAATGTCTATTGCTGATAGTACTCCGACTTGTATGCCTGCTGCAGTTCCCACTAGCGACGCAGTCACAGAGCTATTACGGCAATGGTCTGGCCGACGTCTTGGAGATAATACGTCGTGGCCAGTACTACATGGATCTGGAGGCGCAGGACGAGAAAGCAAAGCCTCTGCGTGAATATGACTTCGTAGTGGTGGGTGCGGGTACAGGAGGATGCACGCTAGCCGCACGACTCTCGGAGAATCCCAAGTGGCAGGTGCTGCTGCTGGAGGCCGGGGGACCCGAAAGCTACATTATGGATTTACCTATTATGGCACACTATCTGCAGCTGGGCGAGATGAACTGGAAGTACCGCACCGAGCCATCGCCATCCTATTGCCTAGCCATGAAGCAACAGCGCTGCAACTGGCCACGCGGTAAAGTAATGGGTGGCAGCTCAGTGCTTAATTACATGATGTACACCCGTGGCAATAGGCGCGATTTCGATACGAATTGGGCGGCTCATGGCAATCGAGGCTGGAGCTACGACGAATTGCTGCCCTATTTTCGTAAGTACGAGGGCTCACTTGTGCCGGACGCAGATGCGGATTATGTGGGCCGCGGCGGTCCGGTTAAGGTCACATACACTGAGACACGAACACGAGTCGCCGACGCTTTTGTGCGCGCCTCCGAACAGGCAGGGTTGCGTCAAGGCGACTACAACGGTCGCCGTCAGGTGGGCGTTTCCTACCTTCAAGCCACTTTGTTCAATGAGACGCGCTGGAGTGCCAACCGCGCCTATCTCTACCCACTCAAGGGTCGGCGACCCAACCTGCATGTGTGGAAGCATGCTCTAGTCACTAGGGTGCTTATTGATGCGGTTACCCGGCAAGCCCAGGGCGTATTGGTGCGTTGGCGTGGCAACGAGACGCTGGTGCGCGCACGCAAAGAAGTAATACTCTCGGCAGGCGCCATCAATACCCCACAGCTTCTGATGCTGTCAGGTATTGGGCCGGCCAAGCACCTTCGTCGCCATGGCATCAAGCCGCTAGCTGATCTGGCCGTAGGATTCAATTTACAAGATCATGTGGCACCAGCTATAACCGTACTGACAAATGCCACAGTATTGCATGTTAATGATATGCTGACCACAGATCAGCTGGGCAACTATTTGCGCGGACGTGGCCCAATGCGCATTCCAGGCGGTGTAGAGGCCATTTCATTCTATGAACTTGACGCACCGCAGGACCCTGATGGCTGGCCCGACATGGAACTGTTCATGGTCGGAGGTGCATTTCACATCAATGTAGCGTTGCGGCTTGCCTTTGGACTGCGCGCTGACATCTACGAGACAATTTTTGGGGCCATAGAGCGCAAAAAGGCCAACGGATTTATGATCTTCCCCATGATATTGCGCCCCAAAAGTCGTGGTCGCATCAAGCTCAAAAGTCGCGATCCCACGGCTCATCCACTAATATACCCCAACTACTTTGCGGATCCCTACGATCTGGACATCACCGTGCGAGGCATTCAGCAGGCAGTGAAGCTTCTTCGTGAGCCCGCGATGCGAGAAATTGATGCGCGACTACTGGAGACGCAGCTGCCCGCCTGTCGCCACCATGGCTGGCAAACCACCGCTTACTGGGAATGCCATGCCCGACATTTCACTTTCACCATCTACCATTATGCGGGTACAGCCAAAATGGGACCTGCCAGCGATCGTAGCGCCGTTGTGGATGACCGTTTACGTGTCCACGGCATCAAAGGACTGCGTGTGGTAGATGCAAGCATTATGCCTCATCTGATTGCCGGTCATCCCAATGGCCCTGTCTTCCTTATAGCCGAGAAGGCAGCCGACATGATAAAAGAAGATCACAACTTTGTAGCTAAGTAGTAGGTAGAATAATTCCAATGCAGCAAGTCAATAAAACTATTTAGATTTCGAATATAGGGCGCTGCTTTATCGGATTCCAAAACGAATATAATGCCCTTTTCATGAAAATCTGTAGTCCGTACAACTAAATAGTTGAAATTCCAGCCAAATCATTCCACTGTCCGTTTATAACTATAAACTAGCATTAAGATGTATAGAACCAAAAGCAACTGCTCCCTCAAGTTCAATACCCAGGTAATTATACACCGACCATAGCACTTAGTAGTTCAAATAACAATAATAATATTGCCTAGGTTTTAGGCAACCAACATTTGTTGTGGCTATCGGAACAATTAGTTGTTAATGTGTCGTTACGTTTTGGTGACGTTTGAAGACAGGCGAAACACACAGCTAATTGGGATTTGGTCCAGCTGAAGTCAAAGTCTATACAACACGAATCTATAACGTTCAGGGCATACATACCTGAATCCCAAACATGGAAAATAAGTATTCCAAAAACAACCCCAATTTGTGAATACTTATATTTTGAGTGTTTTTTTTTAAATATTTTTTGTATAATTATTTATTTACACAAAAGTTAACTATAATTATAATTGTAGATACTTATGTTATAAAATATCGAAAGAATCTTGACCGGTTGTGCTGTTCGGTGGTTAAATTTAAATGGAATACGAGTATATATCATTTAGAATATAAGAACCATATTCGTTTTTTTTTTTTAAGTACAACAACAAAAATCATATTATTTCGAAATTAATGAAAAGAAATAAGTTAAAGCTAATAACTAGAGTATGCGAATTTACTTTGTTTTAAGTAGTTCAGCATTCTTAGTTGTTTGGTAAATATGAAATATCTGCGTCTGATTTACATCAATTAATAAAGACTATTAAGCTAAAAAGTAGCATAATAAGATTAAAGCATACTTGAATTTGATCTTTGAAAATATAATGGAAAGATTTGAAATGAGTGAGCATGAATGCATTATTATTATGTATATATACGAGTACATATTTGACATCGCTATTCCTTTTTTTAATTACGAGGAAAACAGATGAACCAAATACCATATAGTTCAATAATTTGTAAGATTGATTTGGTGCTAGAATTATTTATTTGAACTGCGTACGCCCTGAAGTGGTGGCGCCTTTCTAGGCTTCCGCATTGGTCAACAACAACAAATATTATTTGACCTATTGTTATAATCGTGCTAGCAATCGCTTCAAATCAATGCCAGCTCGGCTTAGATCGGGGGGCATTCAGCTTGTGAGCTCTCAGTTGTGAACGTGTTGGTAGTCAGGCCAAGAGTTGGTCGGTAGCTTGAAGATTCTTTTCGGCGCTCGTGAGTAATCGGCAACTATCGGCGTCGCTGCTGCCGCCTCTGTTGGCATCATTACTCTGCAAGTTTGGCTACACATTGTCTTGGTTATTTGGCTTTTGCTCAGACAGCGCAGTCACTGTCAACGTCGACTGCGTCGCCTACCGAGCCGAGCGCACAGCAGCCGAAAGATTCGCAACACGCATGGCAGCAGCGACGGAGACGAAGACGGAGACTGTGACTGAGACTGAGATGCGGACGGGGACGGGGACGCGGCCGCCAGCCGCTTCAATTTAATATTAAATTGAACTTGGCTACAGCGCTTGTCAGCATTTCTAGTTACGCGTTCGATTGGGCAAGACAAGCGTCTCAACCTAACGGACGGGCCAAAAACGCGCGCAAATTCGAAGCCAAAACGAGCCAGGCGCCTTTAGAACTTTAGAACTTAATTCTCAAGTCAACTTAACCAGCGAGCACGAGCTCAGCCCGCGTCGGCCCACGAATATAGACGCACATCGGTGCTTGAATTTATTCAGTTTATTTTTTCAATTTTTTGTTTGTTTTTTTTTTTTTTGCTTATTTTGTGGAAAAACAAGTGAACAAGTGATTTAAGAATGGCACGTAAACAAGATCTGTCCCAGCTGGGCCTGCTACTTATTTGCGTTATAATCGGCCTGCTTGGCTACCACAAGGTCCGTGCACAGAATAATGTGCTGCTGGAAACCATCAACTTTTTGCAACGAGGTCAGTCTGACGTGGAGCTGGAGAACTTTGATAATAACATTGTATTGGAGAGCGAGTACGACTTTATAGTGGTGGGTGCGGGCACAGCTGGTTGCGCGCTGGCCGCCCGCCTCTCGGAGAATCCCAAGTGGAAGGTGCTGTTACTCGAGGCTGGTGGACCGGAGCGCCTGATTATGGATGTGCCGATAGTAGCGCACTTTTTGCAGCTGGGCGAAATGAACTGGAAGTACCGGACGCAGCCATCGGATCATGCCTGTCTAGCCATGAATAACAACCGCTGCAACTGGCCCCGCGGCAAAGTAATGGGTGGCAGTTCCGTTTTGAATTACATGATGTACACTCGCGCCAACCGTCGCGACTATGACAACTGGGCGGCTCTTGGCAATCCGGGCTGGTCCTACAAGGAGGTGCTCCCATATTTCAAGAAATACGAGGGCTCAAGCGTGCCCGATGCCGATGAGGATTATGTCGGTCGCAATGGCCCAGTAAAGGTCAGTTATGTCAACTGGCGCTCCGACATCGCCAAGGCATTTGTAAAGGCAGCTCAGCAAGACGGCCTCAAGTATCGTGACTACAATGGACGCATTCAGAATGGTGTGGCTTTTCTGCACACGACAACGCGCAATTCTACGCGCTGGAGCTCGAACCGTGCATACCTCTATCCAATCAAGGGTAAACGCCCCAATCTGCACATCAAGAAGAACGCTCTGGTGACGCGTGTGCTCATCGATCCCCAGACAAAGACGGCATATGGAGTTATGGTGCAAGCGGATGGCTCGATGCGCAAGATCTTGGCGCGTCGTGAAGTAGTTGTATCGGCAGGTGCCATCAACACACCCCAATTGTTAATGCTTTCGGGTGTGGGACCGGCTAAGCACTTGCGTGAAATTGGTATTAAGCCCATTGCTGATCTGGCTGTTGGCTACAATCTGCAGGATCATACCGCACCGGCCGTTACCTTCACTACGAATGCAACATCGCTTAAGTTCGAAGATTTTGCTGATCCCAATCTCGTTACTCGCTTCAACCGGCAGGAGGGACCCTATGGCTCACCCGGCGGCTGTGAAGCCATAGCTTTCTGGGACTTGGATCATCAGGACCAAGAAGATGGATGGCCAGATATTGAATTGTTCCTTGTCGGTGGCTCTATGTCCTCCAATCCAGCTATCTCACGTGCCTTCGGCCTGAAGAAATCCATCTACAATGCGCTGTTTGCCGAGATCGAGGACAAGTCGCTGAACGCGTTCATGATCTTCCCCATGATTTTGCGCCCCAAGAGCCGCGGGCGCATCATGCTCAAGAGCAGCGATCCCTTCAAATACCCATTGATTTATTCCAACTATTTCGCCCATCCGTACGATGTGGACATCTCTGTTCGTGGCCTGCTCAAGGCCATCAGTCTGACGGAGCAGCGCGGCTTCAAGGGAATCAACGCAAAGCTGTGGGAGCGCCGCATCCCCACATGCAAGCAACACCCCTACAAGTCATGGGCTTACTGGGCCTGCTACGTACGCCACTTCACTTTCACGATCTACCACTACTCAGGCACTGCCAAGATGGGACCAGCCAGCGATCGCAGTGCCGTGGTGGATGCGCGTCTGCGAGTGCACGGCATCCGCAACCTGCGCGTCGCTGATGCCAGCATAATGCCAGAGATTATAGCCGGTCATCCAAATGGTCCGGTCTTTATGATCGCCGAGAAGGCGGCAGATATGATCAAGCAGGATCATGGCTTCATTCAGTGAGCAGCGACACGACTGCAGTACTCTTAGCATAGTTTTTTTTATCAGGTATAATACTTAGGGCTCTCGTTTCACATGCTTTATATGACGAACTGATTTCTCTTTAAGCTACAATATAAGTCAATAAATTTGTAAGTTTGTTTAAATATGGTCTTTTAATCATTGTGCCATTTCGAAGAAGCTCAGCTGGGCTTGAGTAAGGGAAAAAAGGTAAGAAGTTTAATGGAATATAATATATATATATATATATATATATATATATATATATATATATATATATATATATATATATATATATATATATATATATTCTCAAATTGTCTCTCATTTATGAAGTTGAACTTCGGAAAGGGCAGTTTAACGGTATTTGAGTGCATTTGTAAATTTGTAATTTTGTTTAAACATCGTCTTTTTATCATCGTCATTTCAGCTGGGCTTGAGTAAGGGAAAAAAGGTAAGAAGTTTTATGGAATGGAATCCATATATATTCTCAAATTGTCTCTCATCAATGAAGTTGAACTTCGGATAGGGCAGTTTAACGGTATTTGAGTGCACACCTTGTCAAAAATTGCCGGCTACTACTTTGCCAGCAACTTGACATTGACTTTGAATTTTGATTCGAAATGCCTTTGTCTGAAGACGAGCACGTATTTATACTTGTATCTGCAGCCGGTTCATGTTGCTGTTGTTATTATTTTTTGTTGCTGCTGCTGCTGCTGCTTCTGCTGGACTAACAACACTGTCACTGCGTTTTGTCTCACTTTTGGCAATTTTCATGCTAATCAATTGTAGCGCTCAGGCAAGCAACAGCCAAGAAAAATAACCAAACACAACAACAACAACTAGCTGCTAACAACATAATCAAATTGAAATCCGTGAAGTTCAGCACCTAATGTCGCTTGTTGTTGCTGCTGTTGCTGCTGTTGCTATTGCTGCTGGATTTGATGTTGGCGTTAATGTGATTTTTGTTGGTAATACTGTTGTTTTTGTTTTGTTTTGTTTTACTCATTTGATTTATTAAATTTGGTCTTCTGGCTTTTATGATTGCGGAAATGATTTTAATCGGCATTCAAGCGATTTTTGTCTCTTTCCTTTTGCCTTTGTTTGGTGTTGGTTTTGGGTGACGCGTGAAATCGCTTAAGAGCCCAGCTATCTGCTAATTCAGTTACCACTTGACACTTGCACTAAGCCGTGCGTTTGAAGTCGCGCCACAAACGCGCGCGGTTTTGCCCTTCGCTTAAGCTGTTCTCCATACATAAATACGAGTTAACGCGAAAAACAATTTCCAAACAATTCAAACATATTTGATTTAAAGCTGCATTTCTTGAAGCGGAATCAAAAAACGCAGCTTTTTTGCATGGCATTTTATTGCGATACAAGTTGTCAGTGTTAGCCAAGACACAATCCATAAAGCACGCTTCGCAACCGCGCGATCATTTCCGGTTGGCTCCAATGCCAAAAAGTCGCTTTTAAAGCAATTTAACTTTAAGCTCTCGGCGGCCAGTTTTAAGCGTCGACTTGGGTTTGAGTTTCAGTTTGAATTTGAGTTTTGGGCTTGTGTTTTTTCTTTCTTATTCCTATTTTTCCCTGTCAAAGCTAAAATATTCATGATGCGGACACACAGGTGCATGCAGCAAACAATCCCCAGCCAAGGAGCACTTCAGTGCGACTACCATGCCAAAACTGAGCCGCCCCCGTCCCACCTTCCAAGCACCAGTCGTTGCCACTGGCAACCCTTCGTTACCACAGCACGGACGCTGAAGCGGATGGGGATTGCATACACACCTACTTATATTATCAATATGCTGCCTGCCACGTGCACAGGGTGGCAACATGGGGCGCTAAGCCTTGGACAGCGCACAGTATTCGAGCTTAACTCCGAGGTTGGGATGCCACTCGTGGGCTTTGAGGTTGTTTGTGCAGTCTCGATAAATTTGTATTCGCTGCACTGCCGCCCACTTTTGAAAGTAATGGAATGGGAAGAGTATAAGAGTCTCCCTGCTGTCCGTCATCCTAGCAAACAAATTTCCCCTTTCAGTGAGCGAATGCAATAGGCAGGGATTCTGTCCGACACCCTGCTTAGTTCGTCTGCAAGTCATTAATTCTGTTGCGGTTGGATTCGATATTTTGCGCTCTTTCCAAAATAAAGGCTTTCAATTCCAACTGAGTTGTAAGTCATTTGTTGAAAAATGCCGATTTTTCATACAAACTTTAGAGCCTGTTTTCACCCCTTTGGAGCTCGAATTCCATTTTTTTGTTTGTTATTTTGCTATTCGGGTCGGAAAAAAATGCAACAAATTAAAAACCAAGAAAATTGGTCCAGCCGTTTCTGTATACATAAAATAATGTTAATAGCCGCGTGCCCGAAGGGTAAAGGTTTTACTAAAAATTCTGTCTGTATGTAACAGGCCGAGGGAGTCGTAGTGGACCCCATCTTATAGATATATATGGACATAGTGATGAGACAAATCAATATGTTTATGTCATGTTTATCACAATATATGGACATTATTTTATGTACCTGAATATAGCTTCTTATTGTGTTTGCAAGTTCCATCGAGATCCTTACACTATACATGTATTATATACATATCTGCCATAGGAAAGATCGAGCTTTTAAACCTAAATCTGTCGTAACCAAGACCCAAGACCCAAGACCGATTGGTACAACAAGGGTAATTCAATTGTCTGTGCTAAAGGGCACAAAAACAAAAAATACGCATCCAATAGTTTTTTTTACTGTATTATGATTTATATTTTGATCAATATTATAGAAGATATCTTTTATCAGTTGCTTTAAAAATGCACTTTAAGGATTTCTTAAATTAAATCAGGACCCTACTTGAATAGACAAAAAGTTATGGGAGTATGTCGATTTTGGCCCATAGTCTTAAGGAACATTTTTATTGCCAGACATACGATATATGATTTAATAACGTATATTTGTGCTGATACTTGAATCAACTTTATACATATTCTGCATAGTAGACATTAGTTGGATCGTATTATTAATATATAACAGAATATCTTGGGTTCTTGGTACTTGAATTTAGGAGTCGTGTAGACTACAAAAAGCGCCTAATATATATATTTATATGTTTTTTTTTTCTTTTTGGTTGAACTGGTTTGGGGAGCTACACGGATTTTAGTTTGCAAAAACAGCATAAAGTTATTCAGAGAGTGACAAAATAGCTTTCAGAAATGGCATAGTTAGAACTGATTGCAAACATGTATTGGCTTTTAAGCTTCGTATTATGTATTTAAACAATACAAACAAAAATAACCGAAAGCTAGACTCTTAGATGCCCTGCATCCACTTCAAAAAACCAATATCATTTCTTTGACAGTTATATGATATGTCCGAAAAGAAGCCGTCGTTCATAGTTTCAATGTGATAGCTCTACTGTGGGTCGATTAGGTATTGAAACAGACAGACGGACAAGCGGAGATAGCGATTTGGATTTGGTTCGTCGTGCTGATCTTATATATACACACTTATATAACACTCTTCCTTAATACTTACAAACTAACTATACACGTTTAAGATAAGAGCTAGAACGTTCACAAACATATGTAAAATAAATTAATATTTTAGTACCTTAATATATTCGAAATACTGAGTCCCTAACTCCTTTTGAAAATATATTAAAAATCCATGAACATATACTAACAAGAGAGTATACAAGCGTCCGTATATCTTAAATACATCTGTACATTTTCGACATGTATTTTTTTCTGTTGATGTTTTTTATTGTAATTATGTTTCTTTTAGCTGCTCATCCACCCATTTCCCCCACCAACTTCCCTTGCTGCCGACAGGCATCAGCACATTTCGTCATGGGAAAAAGGAATTGCGTCACGATTTTGGGGTGGTTTCATGCACATATTAACCCTTGAAATTGAAGCTAAATGGCTGTTTTAAGAGGACGGGCCGAAGCACGATAGAACGGATGAGTGACGTATTTTGACATTTTTCTCTAGCTTCCGATATGTGCGACTTTAACGGGATTATCGTTAACTTGTCGAGTGCATAACCAGCTGGAAAAGCGTCGTTAATTTGAGACAAGGACGTGGGCACGGACGAGGGGAAGACGACAAGCCAGCTTCGACACCGGCATTGACTCACAAAGTCAATTACTGAAGTGGCCGCCAAACGGGTTGGCCACCAAGCCGACCAAGCCTGCAGTCCAATGCCATGAATAAAACAGCATACAGGTAAACGAAGAACGCTCAGTTGAAAAGCAATCAGCCGAAGAAAACAAGAGAGAACCGGACAGGTGGACAGGTGGACAGATGAAAGAACGCACTGCCAGAAGAAATTAGCAAGTGGTTATAAAAAGCTTTAAGCATTCAGCCATCCAGCCCCAAAGTGAAACAAACATAAACAGAGAGCGCTGATATCGACTCGATCCGAGCAGCAGGTAAGAGGTTGGATAGAAATGGGGCGCACAAGCAACTCCAGAGCCACAGTCGCCGGTGACTGTGCTTCACGAGCGGTACGATGATGCGGCAGCTGACATTGGCAATATTATTATTACTTTTTTATCTCGCCGCCAAGCCAATGGCCGCAAGAATAATTTCTACAAAGACGACGACAGCGTCGCCAGATTTCGAGCAACTGAAGCAACTGGGGCTTGGACACATAATTCATGGACCGCTATACAATGATGGTAAGTGCGTCTATCTAAATTCTAATACATACACACTTCCATAATCATAGACAAAAACAATACAGATACATAGTACGTGTATATACATAAATATATTCAAATGTATATGGACAGAGCTATATAACTTTAATATCTATAGGTATAGCGAAATATTTAACAGCATTTTAATGGCCGCGAATTTGACTTTGAGTGTCGTGTTTACAATATGGAATATGAAATAGGTTAGTGCGTCAAATTTTATTATTTTTTGCTAGTAGCCACAACACTCATGTATAACATATTCTGACTATGGATTGCCTTTCAACCATAAACGCTGAACTTTCGAAAATTCTTTACTAGAACGGTAGATGGATTGGAACGAATACTGTCGACACTTTCTGACTCATTGCTTTTTAAAATGATCATCCAACTTGTTTTGAGAAACTTGAAATAAAAGTTTTTCAGTGGAGAACGGCGTATTTGTTGCCAATGCTTGACCTTAAGCCTAATAACTGCAAAGTTTGACATTTCTAGTTTTAAAGAGTCGTGTGTACATAATGTTCGAATCATTTCACCAAATTTGAATTTTTACATAGTGAGAGAGAAAAAGACACCGTATGACCTAAAATGGTCGTTATTATGAACCCATTAGTCGCATATACTTAAAGTTATAATAGTTATTAAAAAAACATAAGTGTTATTCCCTTTATGGGACATGAAATGGAAAAAGTGATTCTTGAAAGTATAATCCCAAATACAAGCTGCTTAAAATGTTTAAAGGCTTAAACGGAGGCTTAGTCATCTTTTGATAAAATACACTCTGCTAATAAAAAATAAAAAAATCTTTTGATTCGTGTCATTCTCAGATTACGGGCGCTTAATAATTATCTGACCGTTTTAACGTATATTACCACATATATATATTTTTTTTGTTCGCTAAAAAGATATTTGAGTATAGAAAATAATATATGCCCTTTTATTTCTTGCAGTACCTCCCGATCAGGGCATCTATGACTTTATTATTGTTGGCGCTGGAGCGGCTGGTTGTGCGCTGGCTGCACGCCTCTCGGAGAACCCTAACTGGAGTGTCTACCTCATCGAGGCGGGGGGCGTTGAGAACCTATCGCATCAAGTGCCACTCCTGGCACCAGCACTGCAGGTAACAGCCTCAAACTGGGGCTACAAGTCGCAGCCACAGCGCCAGGCTTGTCGCGGCATGCCCGACAATCGTTGCGCCCTGCCGCGCGGGAAAGTTTTGGGCGGCACCAGCTCCATAAACTTCATGATCTACAATCGTGGCAACCGCCACGACTTTGATTCCTGGGCTGCAGCTGGCAATCCAGGCTGGAGCTACGCCGACGTTCTGCCATATTTCCTGCGCAGCGAGAATGCCCAGCTGCAGGGTCTAGAACATTCACCCTATCACAACCACAGTGGCCCCTTGAGTGTAGAGTATGTGCGTCATCGTAGCGAAATAGTACACGCATATGTGAGAGCCGCCCAACAGGCGGGTCATCGACGCACCGACTATAATGGCGAATCACAGTTGGGCGTCTCTTACGTGCAGGCCAACACCTTGAAGGGGCGCCGTCATAGTGCCTTTCGGGCTTTTATCGAACCCATTCGTAGCCAGCGACGCAACTTGCGCATCGTGACACTGGCCCGCGTTACACGAGTGCTCATCAATCCCGATACGAAGTCTGCCTATGGCGTCGAGATGCTTTACCAGGGCCGGCGTCTCCAACTGCGCGCCCGCAAGGAAGTCATTCTTTCGTCGGGCGCGTTCAACTCTCCGCAGCTACTAATGCTGTCGGGTATAGGGCCCGAGGATAATCTGAAGGCCATAGGCGTGCCAGTGATTCAAGCGCTGCCAGTGGGTCGCCGACTCTATGATCACATGTGCCATTTTGGACCCACCTTCATAACAAATACTACTGGACAGACTCTCTATAGCGCCCGATTGGGACTTCCAATTGTGAAATCATTTTTGCAGGGCCGTGCTGACACACTACTCTCCTCCATTGGCGGCGTTGAATCGCTTACATTTGTGAAAACTTCCACGGCACAATCTGCAGACACGCAGCCTGACATAGAACTGATTCAGGTCGCCGGCAGCTTAGCCTCGGACGAGGGCACGGCCTTGGCTAGGGGCGCCAACTTTAAGCCAATCATCTATGAACGAATGTACCAGGATCTGGCCGAGCGCCAGCAGGATCATTTTAGTTTTCTGGTCATGCATTTTACACCCGCTTCGGTTGGCAGGATTTGGCTACATAATCGCAACCCCCTTGAATGGCCGCGCATAGATCCACGCTATTTCTCAGCACCATCCGACGTAGAGCACATTTTGGCGGGTATAAAGGAAGCCATACGCATTAGCAAGATGCCCGCCTTGCAAGCAATTGGCACTCGTCTTCTGGATCGGCCGGTGCCAGGCTGTGAGGCGCACGCATTTGCCTCCGACGACTACTGGCGCTGTTCCATTCGCACTCTGTCCTACACACTACACCATCAAGTGGCAACCTGCCGCATGGGACCAGCAGAGGACCGCACAGCTGTGGTCAGTCCACAGTTACGCGTGCATGGCGTACGGAAGCTGCGCGTTGTAGATACGAGCGTCATTCCCTTGCCACCCACAGGGCACACAAACGCGGCGGCCATTATGATTGGCGAGAAGGCCGCCGATATTATAAGAGCCGATTGGATCTGAGACTGGTTAGTTTATAGCACATTTAGGCAACAAAAAATCTTAAGAAATTGGGTCAATAAAATGCAAGATGAAAGTTCAATGAAAGCGGGGAAGCTGCTGGGTCATGACGTCGTCACGACCTAGCTTAATAACTGGGTTGTTATTAACAGCTGCCGAAACAAGTTTTACGCGCACGGCGTCAAGTTCAATGTTTGGCCAGCGTCGATAGACGGCTGGGGAACTTGGGCAGGCGGTCGCAGTGTCATCGATAATTTGGGGAACGATGGGCAGCGCCTCGGCACGCTTCAAAGTTAAATGAACTCTCTGAAATGAAAGCAAATGCATCATTTCAAGTCCCGCTTCAAATGCGGAGAGGTGAGGCAAAAGCACCGGCCATTCGACTGCTTTATTGCAACAAAAGGCGAACGCCGGTTATGGCATGCTGAGTCAGGCTATAGCAGTCGCTGTCGCTGTCGCCTCCGCTTAGGGAGCTGACGAACTGCCAAACACCCGATGGAACGGGAATATGAGGTGGCAAGCCGTCGACTTAAAAGCACAGCCGACCACACGCCCGCATTTCAGTTCTGATGAGTCCACTGCGTTGCCTGTTTCTTTACGCACTGCTTGCAGCTGCATTGTTGGTGTCAGCCCAACAGAACCGCTTGCTAACACAAATTGAGCAACTAGGACTTGTCAATGTAATTGAGCAAACCATTAGACCTAATGGTAGGTATTCTTTTGATTATTTGAAAAAGTGCTGTGCATAACAAACACATATTTAATACAGTGCCTAAACAAGGGGCGAACTATGACTTCATAATTGTGGGCGCTGGTGCCGCCGGATGTACTTTAGCCGCGCGGCTCTCTGAGAATCCCAAATGGCGTGTTGCATTAATTGAGGCAGGCGGTGTTGAGAACATTGCCCACCATACGCCGGTGCTGACGGGTCAGCTGCTACAGACTGCCTCGAACTGGGGCTACCGCACGGTCCCACAACGCCTGGCCTGCCGCGGCATGCACAACAATGAATGTTCTGTGCCACGCGGCAAGGGACTTGGCGGAACGAGCTCCATCAGCAACATGATCTATAATCGCGGCAATCGACGCGACTTCGATGGCTGGGCCGCTGCCGGCAACGAGGGCTGGAGCTATGCCGACGTACTCCCCCTTTTCCTGCGCACCGAAAACGCCCAGTTGAAAGGTCTGGAGCACTCGCCCTACCACAATCACAGTGGCCCGCTTAGTGTGGAGTATGTACGTTATCGCAGTGACCTAGCACGTGCCTTTGTGGATGCCTCGGCTCAAGCAGGTCACCAGCGAACGGACTACAATGGGGAATCGCAACTGGGGGTCTCCTACGTGCAGGCTACAACGCGCAATGGAAGACGACACAGTGCTTTCAGTGCTTACATTCGACCCGTGCGTGATAATCGTTCAAACCTGGACATATTTGCCTTCTCACGCGTCACACGCGTGCTTATTGATGAAACCACCAAGGCGGCTTACGGCATTGAGTTCAATTATATGCGCAAATCCTACACATTCAAGGCCCACAAAGAGGTCATCCTCTCGGCGGGTGCGTTCAATTCCCCCCAACTGCTTATGCTATCGGGCGTGGGACCAGAGGATAATCTAAAGGCTATTGGCGTACCACTAATTCAGCCGCTTCCTGTGGGTCGCCGCCTCTACGATCACATGTGCCACTTTGGACCCACCTTTGTGACAAATACAACGGGTCAGACGCTATATCCCTCGCGAATATCTGTGGCAGACATCATCTCTTTTTATCTGGCCGGCAATCCTGGCACTTGGCTCTCCTCTATTGGAGGCGTGGAAGCACTTGCGTTCCTCAAATCTCCACGCTCTAAGCTGCCGGCGGACTGGCCTGACATAGAACTTGTCATGGTGGCTGGTAGTCTGGCCTCTGATGAGGGCACAGCGCTTAAGCTAGGCGCCAACATCAGGGATGATATCTATGATGCCCTTTACCGACCGCTCCAGCTATCACAGCAAGATCACTTTACGCTACTCGTCATGCAGTTCCACCCTAAGTCCATAGGTCGCCTGTGGCTACGCGACCGTAATCCATTGCACTGGCCCAAAATCGATCCCAAGTATTTTATAGAGCCCGAGGATGTGGAGTTCATCCTTGATGGTATAAAGGAATCTATTCGCATCAGCAGAATGCCCGCCTTGCAAGCAATTGGTGCTCGTCTCTTAGACCGACGTGTGCCTGGCTGCGACGAGCATGAGTTCGCCTCCGATGACTACTGGCGCTGCTCCATTCGCACCCTGTCCTATACGCTACACCACCAGGTAGCCACCTGCCGTATGGGCCCTGAAGGAGACCCCACAGCTGTGGTCAGCCCACAGTTGCGAGTGCATGGCATGCGGAAGCTGCGCGTTGTGGACACCAGCATCATTCCACTGCCACCTACGGCACACACAAACGCGGCCGCCTATATGATTGGTGAAAAGGGGTCCGATCTGATTCGAGCCGATTGGAGTGGGAAATAAAATGAATTGAATATTGACGCTCTAAACATCTAAACTGTTTCTTGTCACGGGTGGGGGGTAGTGGAGATACAAACCTCGGACCTTCAGCGAGTTAATTAAATAGAATTGCCTAAAGAGTGTCGAGACCATGACGAGTCTCGGCTGCGTGCAAAGGCTCGTTGGCAGCGCCCAAGGCTTGTGGTGTTTGGCAATTGGCTAAGGGCAATGGGTCCGTCGACTCGACATTATGTGGGGAGGCTAAGGGGTGGGGGTGGGGGTTGTTGTTCTCTGCTTTGCTGTGTTGTGCCGCAGAGTGCATTAACCCAAACATGCGGCCTAGGCACGAGGGTTGAATGGCACGCACACACACACACACACACACACATGCACACACGGAGATGGACACAAACGCACGATGACGTCAAAAGGGGGTGGTTTGGTAGCCATGAAACAGTCATAACATAAAATAAAAGACTCAACGGATGCTGCTCTCCCTCGCTCTCTCTCTCTCTCTCTCTCTCTCTTTCTCTCTCTCCCTCTCTTAATGTATATGTGTTTGTGTATGTGAGCCATAGTGGGGGTGTGCGTCAGTTTGTTAGCAAGGGTGCGCATACAAGTGGTTATCAGGATGCGCCGCTTCCTTGTTGTTCTCGTTGATGTTGCCGCTACCGCTCGTATAGTTGTTGGTTGTTACTGTCGTTGCTTTTGTTGCTTTGATTGTCATTGTGTGAGAAATTCAATATGTATTCAAAGCTTTAAGATCTGCCAGCAAGTGATGCAAAGTATGCAACAATAAAATGAAACCAACACTGACATGCAACATTGCAATCAAGCTACAGCAACTTCCTCCTCCCCTTCCCGCTGCCACTGCCGTTGTTGCTGCTGCTGTTGTTGTCATCATGTGGTTTCTAATTGCTGCATTTGAAATTACTTCAAAGGCGCATATGACAGGGGACGCAGTCCCTGATTTTACATGCATGTGGGTGCGTGTGCGTGAATGGAGTTAATGGCGCCACAAAAAAAACTTCACACTCGCATTCGTGTCAGAATCAAGCGGCAATTTAAGACATTCATTAAGGGCCAACTGTACATAAATAAACGCTTTGTCAGCTTTTTAAGTATATTACTGAGATTTGCAAATGTTCCTATTAAATAATCAGACATTTTCTCGCTTCTAAATTCGACCAAAGTATACAAACTCATTTGATTGTTTCATATAAAATCTATTGTTACCGAATAATTCAATCGGTTTTTTTTTACTTTAGGACATTTACTTATCTATTTCAATTCCGCAAACATACCTACAAAAAATATCATCCACATAAATTACAGTTTTGGAATTGCTGTTATAATTATAATTGATATGTATTTCATTATTCATTACAGACTTTAGAAAGCCAATTTGTTTGCTTTGGAATTGTTGTTATAATTATAATTGATATGTATTTCATTATTCATTACAGACTTTAGAAAGCCAATTTGTTTGCTTTAAATATTTTATGCGATTGCTTTTGGTGAAATTTTTCATTGTTCGACTTATTATTAATTGATAATTATTTCTACAATCATTTTTAATAATCGTAGACCTTCATTTAAGCCTTATGTTTAATTAAATGTCAAAGAATATTTGATAGCCATATTTCATATACGTTTCTAATATCGTTCGCCTTTGTGTGTAATATACAATAGGCGTTAATATGAAAAAATATTCAGAATCCTGATAGTTTTCAATAATCATTTGAAATAAAGTGAATACAAAACCGATTGCAAATATGACAGCGGGTACAAGCCCTGTGTTCATAGTTGTTTGAATAGAATGAATTGAATTATGTTTCTATTTAAATTAACCAGTCAGGGAAATAAAGTCAGATGAATGGATGAAAATAGTCCGATGGTTCCAAATCGATAAATTCCCAAAACAAATACATACATACATAAATAGAACGAAAAAAATGAATACGAAATTAAGTCATAACGAACCTCATTTTTAATTATGTAATTTTTTACGGTGCAGAACAACTTTGCGATGCATTAAAGCTGAGATTTGTATGTTTATTCATTTTTTGCAAATGATCCACTTAATATTTTGTGAAAGGGAATAATTTAAATTGTTTATGTACGTAGCGGTTGGAAAAGTGCTTACCTGAAACAATTAACGCCTCATTCGGACCCGTTGTGTGTATGTTCCCCATCTTTTTGACGGCCGTTACTTAATAGTTCCTTCTGTTTCGCCCCCTCGTAGTCCTCGTCGTGTCGTAGTTCGTTTGAGATTCGCTTGCAGGCAAAGCAGGGTGAAAACTTTGATTGCACAATAAATATTGCGTTTAATTTTACTTGATTCTCTATATATTTATATAAGCATGTATATATTGCACTTAACTAACTCCGGCACTAAGCTAAAAATGCTGCACAAAACAAATAAATTAAAAAAAATCGACACAATTTAAGATTCTTTAATGGCGATCATTTAAGTTGGCACCTAAAAGCATGCTATATTTCTTGCTGCCTCGCCATTATACGCACGCACGGTTTGTTTTTATTTATATGAATTTCAGCTTTTTGCTGCACAGTTCAATTTGGAAAGCAATAATAGAACCAACAACAATGGCAACCTGTTATCGTATGCAAATTATTCTACAGAATGTGCACGCTACAGTGCCGCTGTTAGGCGGGCCATTAATTGAATAATGTCATGAGTCCATGTCCATAGACATGAAATTGATGTACGAATAGCTTTCAATTAATTTTAATATCGTATAGAACATATGTATGTGGAGCCGCGTGGGACTGACTCAGCCAGCCGATAAGAGCCACTGTAGAAATATATATGTATATATATATATCTTGGCACTTAGCCACATTCGATAAAAAATTTAAATGAACGAAAACACAGAAATTCTGGTGTTTGAAAAAAGCTCTTTAATAAAAAACAAGCAACAACAATAGCCACAATGGCGCCGACCTGGCATGTGTTAATAATTATTTAATTTAATTTCATGTATGTATTTACATACATACATATACATGCATGTATGTATGTATATAGAAAACTGCAGCATATCAGTACTGCTGGAAAAAATATAGAATTAAAATAACCCCCACAAACAACAGAATAATTTCAAATACGGCGAGCCCAAAAACAGAGCAGGCGGCAATGACGTAAACTTCGAACAAGAGGGAGCAGCCGCAGTAGCAGCGACACAACGTCGACGTCGGCCGCTAAAAACGATGTCTTAGCTAGGGTGGGGTGGGTTGACGTATTAGTGCGTGTGTGTGTATGTATTGATGTGTGTGTGAGTTGCTCATAAGATTTAAGATTCAACAGAAAAGCCCCGGCGATGCATGGCAAAACAAAATGCACACAACAGCAGCGACTGTGCGTGTTCTTATCAATGAGCTCATCAAAAATCCTATGATGCAAAAGGCGAAGACAAATAAATTAGGACAAAGGCATAAGCAACAATAGCGTAGCAAACACACACACACACACACAGTTTCAAAAGTAACCCCCATCGACGACGCCATTGGAATATGGTTTGGGGTTTGTCCGAATTCTTGTTGGAAATAAACAACGCTTTTAACTAGATATTGCTTTTTGTTATTCTTGTTTTTGTTGCTGAACGTTTACTGCACGTCGTGCCCGGCGCTAAGGTGCCAACTTTTGACCCAAGCATTGATAAGCCTTCACTAATTATTAAAACCGGCGCGCGCAAACTAACACAAACCGCTTAATTTTGATTTGTTTATAGATTTTTAATTTGGCACTGTGCATCACAAGTTTGTGTTTTTTGTACACAAATAATAATATTTTAAAAGAAATCAATTGAATGACTAGGATACGCAGCTAGTATTGCATATTACCACGAATGCGGCGTGCTTAATATTTGTAAATAACAAATTATGTTTCCCCCAATTACCAACAAAATTTTATGTAAACTCGCTACAAAAACTCGGCACCAACTGCTCTTCTTCTTTTGCCTACCAGTGAGAATATCGATACACATACATATATTCTTTGCTTTTATCGATAAGGGATGCAACGTTTTCATGTGATAGCTGCTAGGGATGACGAATAATTTTATTTAAAGTGCTTATACCTGTGACTTTTAACATTCACCTCGTAAACTGACATTACTCTCGAAATAATGTTACTCGATGACTTAACATATACTTGGTATTCATGTTTCAGTCCGTATTAATGGTTAATATTGAGATTAAAGCAGTTAATCCCAAAAACAATGGCATATAACATTGATGCTGTGTCTGGTGATTTTGTCAAGCTCGTGACAATGTGACAGTTACGAAAATAATGAACATCTCTATTCCTAGCACAGACTTATTCAACAGCTCTGTGCAATAGTTCGTAAACTGTAAAGACTTAAAATTAGCAAAACTAAAACACCAAATTAAACATGAACAGAATTTTCCAAAGTCTTTTGCGTCAGACACGCGTGTGTTCCATCAACAACATCAGCAATGTTAGCATTGCAGCTGCGCCTCTAAGGCTGATGCTCGCTTCGCGTTGGTATGCCGCCGATGCAGCTCCACCGGCAACAGTAGGCAAAGAAACTCTAGACAAATTGGTGCGCACCAACAAGGTGGTCGTATTCATGAAGGGTAATCCGGAGGCGCCACGTTGTGGGTTTAGTAATGCTGTGGTGCAAATAATGCGCATGCATGGCGTACAATACGATGCACACGATGTGCTCCAGAACGAGGCGCTGCGTCAGGGTGAGTCTCCATGAAGTTACGTTGATATACCAACCATTTAATATATACGTACTACTTTCTCCACAGGCATCAAGGAATATTCCGACTGGCCAACCATACCTCAGGTATTCATCAATGGCGAATTTGTCGGTGGCTGTGATATTTTGATGCAATTGCATCAGAGCGGGGACCTTATCGAGGAACTGAAAAAAGTGGGCATTGTGTCCGATTTGCTGCGGGCGGAGCAGGAACAAGAGAAAAATGAAAAGAAATAGTCACATAGCATAGACTGCAGAGCTTAAAGATGCAACAAATTCAAACTAATTGTTAAAACGCAACGTTTTTATTATTAAATGTTAATTATACAATATTTTTCCAAAGATTACATTCATTATCTAAGGCTTAGGTGTTCGAGGTTTCCTTTTGGCCGCCTCCCGCTTATTATCGATTTGCTCGAGCGCGTCCACTATCCTGGCATGGGCACCTCGCTCCAAATCTTCTACTTCCAAAACTTCACGGCACCGCTGCTGATAATCTTTATTTGTCATATGCACCAATATTTGTGTAAGGCTTTGTGCAATAGAATTTCTAAGCATGTCATCCGGCGGCATTGGCTGACGATGTGGCGTACGCCGTATAAGAGGCTGAGATTGTGACTGCTCCGCAGCACTGCTCCCTTCTGGTAGTTGGGACGATAGCGGAACGGACATTTTCACTTCTCGACACTCCAGTTTATTTTTCACAAATTTAATTCCCAAGGTTTGAGCTTACTGGCAGCCTTGACAAGAGCGTTCCGTTACTTTTCACCAGTGATGCCAATTCGAATGGAGCTTTGTGAGTGGGTGGCGCTTTGTAACTTCGTTTGGCGCATTGTTTTTTAAAACGGTTACTCACTTTATATTAATCGAGATATCCATCTATCCTTTAGCTTTAAGGCTACCTAGTTGAGACCTTAGGACAACAAGCATTTATTTTTGCATGCTCTTCAGTTCATAAGACAAGATCTTACCACTAGCGAGGAATGTTTTTGGGATCCAAAGGTATTTTGATAGCCTGTACCTAAAAAGTAAAAGGCTAAAAGTTTTGAGCGAATGTATGTAACACACAGAAGGAGTCGTGGCTCACCCCACAAAGTATACATATATATTCTTGATCAGGGTGACAAGCCGAGTCGATATAGCCATGTTCGCCTATCCGTCAGTATGAACGCAAGGATCTTGGAAAGTATAAGAGCTAGAGCAACCATACTTGGTATCGAGATTCTCCCAAGTCCGCGAAAGTACGAGTTTGAGTTTTTTTTCAACTAACGCAGAGGAAGGCAATGACGGGATTGATGACGATTTGTCTGACACCCCATCTGACTTTGCGAATCGTTAAAGTTGTGTCTACGGGCAATAAAAGTGTTCAAATTCTTTCAAGTTCTCATTTTACTGTATAAGAAAATAAATATAATATCATATCGCTTAAACATGGTGAGCCGTCACTTTCATGATTCTTTATTTATTATTATTTATTTAGAACTATGCATAAATATGACGATGGGGCTGATTGTATATTATAAGCAAAGACTCATCTTAAAATTGAAATAAAAACCTAGCTATATATAATATGTAATAAACTCGATCTGCGTGTGAATAAGACAAATCTAACTACCGAATTTGGTTATCCTAGTTGTTGTGATCAAAATTTTCCATGCTCATACGGACGGAGAGTCGGACGCGCCGATCAATGGATTAACCATACTGTTATCTGCCTGTATCTTGTATAGACTTTCAACGCAAAAAGAAAGCCAATATTAGTATTCTAGCGATGCATAATCAGAATTAAATGTTGAAACTTCGTCCGTAATTATGTGGTATTTATTGTAATTTATACATTATATAACAGCATATACAACATTTGCTTATTAGTAAACAATAATAGAAAGTGTTAAACGCTGCTAAAAAAAAATGTCAAAAACATACATATATTATACGTTCAAAGGTAAATTTGTAATACTTGCAGAGTTCAGCTTGTACAGGAAATCAATAGGAAATACATGGATAATTAGAAATCGTCTCCTTCACATTTCGCCTCGTCAAAAACAACAACAAATGGTACATACATACATATGTAAATATATTGATACATATGCGATAGAAAGAGACGGGCATATGCATGCGAAGGAAGATGGCTGTGAAGCCGTACAGGATGCGTACATACATATGCGAACGTTGTGCGTGTAGTGGAACGCCAAGAAGTGGGCAACTCGGCTCACACAATCGACGACTTGTCCATGATTGACGAGGTCTCGAGCAATAGCTCGGTACTGCTGCTGAGTATATCGTAAAGCTGATGCGGAGCATCACCAGCAATGGGACTCCCGAAAGGGAAGAAGGAGGAGAGCGTGGAGAGCTGCGGTGTAACACTGACCAGACCATTCGTTGTGCTTGCCGTCGCCATAGCTGCTGCCGTGCTAGGCAACGATTTGCGACGTCTCTCCACACCATCCACATACTCGAGCTCCGGCTCCGGCTCTTCATCCTGGTGCTGTAGCTGCTTACTAATCGGACGCTGTTCACCCAGCGCCTCATAATAGGCATCGGGTAACTCCTCAAAGCTCTGCAGGTCCAAACACCGTTGCACTTTCGCAATGTTGCTCAACAACATGCGATGGAAGAGATCGACCTGTGGCTGCCCGCCCCCGCGTATGTCGAGAACCGGCAACCAGCGATAATAACACTGATCCCACACGGCCAGATCAAAGATGCGATCGGCGGCCACCAGGAAGCGATCCTGCGGCACTGTCGACTGCGTTGCAAACAGCTGCGGATTGATGGTGTACCGGTTCATGGACATCGACAGCGATCCCACACCACTTGCCGGCCCTGAAGTGCTGAGCTTGTGGCCCACGGCTAGGGAGCGACGCTGTTGCTGTATTTGGCTCGCATCGCCACGCTGGCGCTGATACAGTGGATTGCTGAAGAACATTTTGTCCTTGTCCGAAAACTGTTCACCCCAGTCCCACACCGGTCGCAGCACCAGCTTGGACTCGCTGACGGCACGGGCCCGCTGTGCATGCGTATCGAACTGGAAGGTGTCAAAGATAGGCATGAAGCAGGCATCCCAAAGCGAGGTTAAGTAGGTCTGCGAGAACTCGAACTCGTCGGGGAACTGCTGCAGCAGCTGCCATACACAGTCAAGGAACAGCAGGAAGACAGGACTCTGCTCGCTGTCCAGCAGCTGGTCGCTGCCACCGGGGGTGCCATAAACATGGGCCAGCCGACGCTGGAAGGGATGCTCCAGAGCCACCCATTCTTTTTGCACCAGCGACTGGAAGCCATCTATGGTGCGGAAGTGTGGATCGAGTAAGAGCTGCGTCAGGCTCGAGATCACGCAGCACAAGTCACGACCATTAGACTCCTGCAACACGCATGTGGTGCCAGAACGCAGCGTGGACGCCGCCGTGTTGGCATATTTCAGACAATACGAGACGTAGAGTAGCCAGTTGGTTTTGTCAAGAAGTGCTAGATACTTGTCATCTTGCAGCATAAACTTTTCCGGCGTTTCGGGCGTGCACAGACGCCGTAGCTTCTGGTAGGCACGCTGTACATCCTGTATGCTTGGCAGGTTTTCCGTCAGCTGAAGCACCTTAATTTTCTTGTGCTCGTCACATTTGCGCACAAGTTCGAGCGTTACGTTCTCCATCTTTGTATCCTGCTGCGTCGCCGGCTGCAGCTCAGCTAGGCGCACAAGTGAGGCCGCACTGCTGCCATAGCTGTACACCCAGAACGCGGCGCGTGAGTCGCAGAAAGCACGCGACAAGTCGAGAAAACGCTCCACTGTGCAGCTCTTGGGTATTACGAAATGCGGCGGCAATGTATATTTGCCAGCATGCAGCTTGTTTTGCAATAGAGGCACGCTGCTTGCACTGACCACCTGCCACTCCGTGGCACCGCAACGGATCAGCTCGCGTGCCCAGTCGTTCTTGCTCGCATACATGCTGACGCCGCCGCCCGGCTTGCCCAGTGTTGAGTAGTAGGGCTCTCGGTAGACGTAGGCGAAGCTCAGATCATGACGCGTCGGGTAGGCAAAGCGCACCAGCGCCGAGGCTATCCTCTTGCCGTTATCGCTAGAACCGCTCATTTTGGAGTCCTGTTGCTGGAAGGCAAACTTTAGCAGACGAAAGTTCTTGCAGATGATGTGCAGAGCAGCGATCCGTCCTTGAATGCTCTGCTGCTTGGTGGGTTCCAGCTTCTTTCGCTTGCTGCCCGCCACACGGACTGCATGCAGAGCGCTAGCTGTGCGTCCCAGCTCCGCGATAGTATAGATCTGATCGATGTTATTGAGAGTGACTTCGTTTCGGCCCAGGTAAAGATTTTCCTGATAAAGATCAGAAAGCGGGGATGGAGCGGGAAGACCAAGTGTGGAACGCGGCTGCAACGGCACAAATGCCAGCTTAAAATTTGTCACACTTAGCAATCCAAAAGTGGCCTCCTTGTGGTCAGGCTGCTTATCGCCACTCTCCATGGGCGCTATGGGAGAATACATGTATGCGGGTGCCTCGGCCACAACCTGTTCGTTGGAAAGCAGGCGCGGCTTGGCCCAATGCACGTTACGCAGATCACTAGGCACAAACCACTCATTGGTGTCTGCGTTTGCGCGGAGGTCGCCAGGCAACGGCGCCACATAGCTGGTAAAGGTGTTGCGCTTGCGATGATCTGGCATCTCGCTGCCACCAGTGGCCATAGTTTGTTTCTGGACAGCGTGTGGGGACTGCGGCCGCCAATTCGGCCAATGGTTTTCTCCTCTGACTCGCTTCTATTTGTCGTCGCGTCAGCGCGCCACCACCGCTTCCGTCACCGCTACCGTTTACTGCCCACCTCTCTTATCCACAGCTGGTGCGACGTACTTTGAATATTCAATTATTTCTTATTTCCGGTCTGCTTCAATGTTGGCTGCCCCCGTTGTTGCTGTTGTTGCAATTCTTGCTGTTGTTGGTATTTCTGTGGGCGCACTTGCAACAGTTTACACCTCGCCTCTTACCGTTAGCCGCCGTCAGTACGCCTCCAATGACACAAAGCTGTTAGCCAGCACCAGCAGCCGCACCAACATAAAAAGAAAACAGAAAACAAACACACAGAGCCAGCCATACCACACGCACACACAAACAGCATTAGAATTATCGTAGTAAGATAAGTTTATCAGTTGAGCTCACCGTTGGTCCTGTGTGAGGTTGTTTTGCCAACAAGCGAGAATTTTTTTTATTATCTCGCCATCTTTATGCATCACCTATGTGCATACATATATGTACATGCATTTATGTATTATTTGTTTTTTATTCGAAACAATTATTCCCTTACTAACACACAAACACACACACACACATGGACGCTCACGAAACTCACTGCTGGTATTGCAGCTGCTTCAGTCTTTATTAACATTCACAGGAAACGCAGATAAGTTCAATTGCAGGTGGGTATTAGTATCACAAGTGATGGGGGTTGTAGTGAACTAGTATCGATAGTAGTTGCGGCAAAACCGATTGCTTGCACTATCACATCACCACGCAACAACAACATTAAGGACGACTACAGTCGGTGTGGTTACAATAGCCACAACCAAAAATATATATTTGGAGCAGGCGTAGCAAAGTAGGATATCACAAATCTTTTGTAAATCATTACATTGAATGTTTCCAGTGAAAACATGTCTATTACGCAGCAAACAGCTTTATAGATTTTGCATAGCGCCACGCAACTCATCAACGTATTCAAAAAATTTTCAGTACCATCCTCGATTAGAAGTACAACCGAATAAGCAACGAAATAAACTAACCGCCATACGCAAGTTTACATTAGAAGGGGCTATGTCGGCGGAGGTCAAATACCTAGATATACCAGATAAGTCGGAAAACGACAAGAAGCTATACAAGTAAGTTAAAACCGTAAAGTCACGCCCATGTACGTGGCCCCATTTGCAAACACGTGCGTTTTTCTCTCCACAGGACGCTACTTTTAAGTAATGGCTTGCACGCTCTGATTGTGTCAGATCCCAGTCCCATTCCGCACGATGGTTTCACATCGTCCTCGGAATCATCCGCTGAGGACGAGGAGTTGTCAGGCGAGGCCGAGACGGGAAGCAGTACAACTGAGACAAGTAGCGAGAATGCTTCTAGCACATCCACATCGGCCAGCGCCAAAACATCGGAGAGTGATAGCGAGGAGGGTGATGAAAAGTTGGCCGCTTGTGCCGTACTTATTGACTACGGTTCATTCTCCGAACCACGTAAATATCAGGGGCTAGCGCATTTCCTCGAGCACATGATCTTCATGGGTTCCGAAAAGTATCCCGAAGAGAATGCCTTCGATGCGCACGTTAAAAAGTGCGGTGGCTTCACAAACGCTAACACCGATTGCGAGGACACGCTTTTCTATTTCGAGGTGGCCGAGACTCACCTGGATTCCAGTCTGGACTACTTCACAGCGCTGATGAAACAGCCACTCATGAAGCAAGAGGCCATGCAGCGGGAACGTTGCTCTGTTGAGTCGGAGTTCCAACAAATCGCACAGGACGACGAAACGCGTCGCGACCAGTTGTTGGCCAGCCTGGCCACCGAAAGTTATCCACACGGCACCTTCTCTTGGGGAAACATGAAGTCGTTGAAGGAGAACGTGAACGATGACGAGCTACACAAGTTGCTGCACGAAATACGGATGGACCATTACGGTGCAAATCGCATGTACATCTGCTTGCAGGCACGCCTGCCCATTGAAGATCTCGAGTCTCTGGTGGTGCGCCATTTCGCTGACATTCCGAGCAGTGGCGTAAGCGGTCCCACATTTGCGCAGTATAACTTCCGTGACGCTTTCCGCGAGGAGTTTTATCGCGAGGTTTTCTTTGTCAAGCCCGTCGAGAACGAGTGCAAGCTAGAGCTGACTTGGGTGCTGCCACCCATGCTACAATACTACCGCAGCAAGCCAGACCACTTTCTCTCCTACCTGTTGGGCTACGAGGGCAAAGGTAGCCTTTGTGCCTATTTGCGGCGACGCCTCTGGGGACTGCAGCTATATGCGGGCGTTGACGAGAACGGCTTCGATCAAAACTCCATGTATTCGCTATTCAACATTTGCATCTTTCTGACCGATGAGGGTTTCAAGCACATCGATGAGGTGCTAGCAGCCACCTTTGCTTACGTGAAACTGTTTGCCGACTGTGGATCGCTGCAGGAGGTCTACGAAGAGCAGCAGCGCATTGAGGAAACTGGTTTCCGCTTTCAGGCTCAGCGACCCGCCTTTGACAACGTGCAGGATTTGGTTGTATACACGAAGTACTTCCCTCCCAAGGACATACTGACGGGCAAGGAGCTGTACTACGAATTTAATGAAGAGCAACTGCTGGTGCTTATTCGCCTTTTGAATGAGTTCAGATTCAACCTAATGATAACCTCCAAAACCAAGTACGAGGACGTAAGCTATGACAAACAGGAAAAGTGGTTCGGCACCGAGTACACCAGCATTCCCATGCCCGAGAAGTGGAAGAAGTTGTGGGACGAGTCCAAACCAATGCCAGACCTATTCCTGCCCACACCGAATCGCTTTGTCTCTCAAGACTTTCGTCTCTTCTGGCACGAGCAAGGCAAGCCAGAAGTGCCCGTCGCGCCGAAAAAGCTGCTTAAAACGGATACCTGCGAGCTGTGGTTCCGTCTCGACGACAAGTATGAGCTGCCCGAAGCCTTTATGTATTTCCATTTTATATCGCCACTGCAGCGTGAAAGCGCAAAAAAGTAAGTCTGCTCGTATTTAACAAAACCACAATATAACATTCATAATCTGACTGTCCCTTCTCAGTGATGCCTTGGGAGCCCTGTATGAGCATCTGGTCAAGTTCCAGGTGTGCGAGGAGCTCTATCCGGCCATTACAGCCGGCCTCTACTATCAGTTCAATGCTAGCGAGAAGGGCTTAGTGCTGAAGGTCAGCGGCTACAATGAGAAGCTTCATTTGATTGTTGATGCCATTACGCAGGGCATGATCAATGCACAGACCTCGCTAGACGACTTTATTGTGGATGCATTCTTGAAGTACCAGCGTAAGACCTTCTTCAACACCCTCATCAAGCCACGCGCCCTTAACAGGTGAGTTGTCGAAATTTCCAACGATATGATGTATTTATAGTATATTGCGGGGCTCTCCAAAGAGACAAGATAAACAGAAATACATGCGTTTATACTGATTCAAAGAAAAATAGTATAATTAAAATAATTCCAGCTCTATAGTTAGTTTCTAAAATGATTTAGGCTTTTTAAGGATTTCGTTAAAGATCAATTAATTACAACTCAAATCATTTCACTTGATGAAAAGTTTGTTGGTTAAAAAATATACTTGTATATGTAGGTCTGCTCCTGTTTCCGATTTCGATTATTTATGGGCAAACGAAATTGGTAAATGCGATTATTTCAAAGGTTGTTCACGATTTTAAATAAAGTTAGGCAATTTAAAAACAATCGAATATGGATTATAGAGTAATTATTTGATATGGTTGTTCCTTCCTTCTCGTACAGAGACATACGACTGAGCGTGCTTGAGCACATACGTTGGCCGATGATAGAGAAATACAAATGCCTGAATGATATAACTCTGGCCGATGTGAAGGAATTCGCCTGCAAGTTTCCCCAACAGCTTTACGTGCAGGCTCTGATCCAGGGCAACTACACCGAAGAGTCGGCACACAATGTGATGAACTCGGTGTTGACTCGTCTCAACTGCCAGCCCATAAAGGATCGCCATTTCGTCGAGGATCGGACCGTGCAGCTGCCTCAAGGCTCTCACTACATTCGCTGCCATGCCCTTAACGAGCAGGACACCAACACTGTGATCACAAACTTCTATCAGATCGGGCCAAGCACGGTGCGCATGGAGAGCATACTTGATTTGCTGATGATGTTTGTCGAGGAGCCGCTCTTCGACCATCTACGCACGAAAGAGCAACTGGGCTACCATGTGGGGGCCACCGTCCGCATCAATTATGGTATTGCCGGCTACTCGATTATGGTGAACTCGCAGGAGACAAAGACTACGGCACGGTATGTGGAGGAGCGCATTGAAGTGTTCCGAGGCAAGATGCTGCAGATACTGGACCAAATGTCTCAGGAGGATTATGATCACACATGCGACTCGCTAATCAAGCTGAAGATGGTCGCGGATATGGCGCTGAGCAGCGAGGTGACGCGCAACTGGGACGAGATCCTCAATGAGAACTACATGTTCGACCGCAGACGTAAGCAGATCGAAGTGCTGCGCGTGCTGAGCAAGAACGAGATAGTTGCATTCCTTTTGGACAACGAGATCACAAATCTGCGCAAGCTATCGGTGCAGGTCATTGGCCACCGGCCCTTCGGCATGCCCGAGCCAGTGGCAGCGCCAATTGTGCCTGGATCAGAGCCAGCCGGCGGTGGAGACGAGGATGCCATGGCACAGGAAGATGGAGCTCTATCCAATGGCGACTATACCGAAGACGATGTTGTGATGAAGGATGCAGGTGCCGGAAACGACGAGCTGTTTACCGCACTAGCCAACAAACTGAACGTCGTATTCATTCCCCAAGAGGGCGATGCCACCACCATTGTGGACATAACCGACTTTAAAGAAAATTTACACGTTTATCCAACAATGAAGACAGACGTAGACGACGCTTCCCGCACTGCTCGCATCGAGGATGCGTTAAGCAATGCGTGAGCTGCCCCCCAACGCCGCCGGCAGTGAGTAAGGGAGCGTAACGTTCTGTTTTACTTGCCGCCACATCACAAATTTTTGATGCGCTGGCATTTCTGTATTTTGAATTTTTACACCGAACCAGAGGCACAACTTGCCGGCGGCTCAACCGAACCACCTTACACCCACACATTTGTTCACAAGCGGGCTGTGCCTGCAACCACAGCCCCAACGGCCTCAAAACTAAATGGCAAATTCTTTCTATATAGTTTTAGTTTAAATCAAATGCAATTGAAACAAAATGCGACGCGATTATTTCAAGTTTTCTCATTTATTCTCTAGGCTTCAACAGCAACTGAGAAATATCCATATATTTATTATCGTATACTTGAATTGAATGTTGAACCTTGTTTGTAAATCTGTCTCCTGTTCATGCGAAATAATAAAAAAGGACATGCAGGCAACTACACCTCTTCATGCTTTAATTAATTATGATGCTCTCGGTCTGAATATGGCTACGAAATAAGTTATCTTCACCCTAATATTAGCAGTGTCATAGAACTAAAATATTTGATAATGGATCGCAGTTACATATATAAAATAATGAGGCTATATATTGTTTGTAATAAACTTGAGCTGCGTCTGGTATACCTATCTGTAATGGTTTAAAATTCCTCGTTGCTCATACGGACGAACGGATGATGGAGATGTCTATTTACGGGGGCTGATTAATAAGTACCCGCAAGGGCGTAGGCAAAAATTTATTATGACGTACTATTTCGCCTTAAAATGGAACTGAGTTGGATTTGTTTAAATTTGTCTATTGATCATAAGTTATTATTTTAACGCATCGTGTATTATTTAATCTCAATTTAATTTTTTGGGCCACCCCCTTCGGCAAAAGCTGCCTACGCCCTTGAGTACCCGTGTTTGAAAAAAAGCCTTTTTTTACAAAGTATTGTTTTGGTGTGAAAACTTGGTCTTTTAGGCTTATACATTATTTCCGCACGTTTGTGCCACACCCTCTTAACAATACGCTTTTCAAACTCTCCAAAATACGCTCTTGTCTCCGGGATAACGCAATCATTTTAGCTGCATTTCTTTTTCCTGCGAGCTGTGTTTTCAATGAAGAGAACAGGAAAAGGCGCTGGGTGCCAGGTGGGACGAGTACGGTTCAAGCACAGCTTAGACATTACTAGTCGTACCCGAGAATGGCTCGGCATTATCCCACTTCTCTTTTATTTATTCTCATGTTTTTACATCAAAAAATAAGAAGCTAATGACGTTTCGATTTTGCGAGAAATGCGAAACTAGTTCTACTCAAAAGTCCTCAAAACAATGTAGTCGATGAATTAGTTTCGGATTTCGTATGGTAGCTTTAAATCTTTAACTGAATATCATGGTAAAGTTAACATCTCTCGGCAATGCCCTCTGTCGTCAAACACGGGTACTTGTTGATCCACCCTCGTTGATTCGTCCCTTCATGCTTATCATATATATATGTATGTACATTTCATGTTTTGACTTTCCGATGTACCCTTTAACCCTTCGCTTACAGAAGGGCAAGAAAATGTCATATTGTAATAGTCGTAGTATAATGTTTGTAGTAAATATTGAGAAATAAGCGACTTTATCAATGATCTAAATAATTCATGAACTAGTTTTAGCTGGTATGGGGTCGTCTGTTTATTAATATGTACATTAAGCTTTATTAACAGTAGTATTTGTATAAACTTTAGCATTACATATGTATACATATTGTGCCCGAATAATTTACAATAACAATTATCTTTATTTTAGCGAGTTTTTGTTTAACAATTTTTTTTTAGCCTTGAGCAACACACAGTTTTTATACAGATGCTTGTATGGGGACTACTAACAGGGTCGAGCATTTCTTATTGTTATTATTACAAGTATATTGATTATGTGTGAAATGGTTTCGATTTTGAAAACAGATATGGGCCAGAGAACAGTTAAGGTCTGTATTATGTACTCGTATCAACTAAGCAACAATAGTATTTATCATTATTATTTGTATTTTGACTTATTTTATTTGGTCAATAACGATTTGCGGCCTTCTGGATTTGCCTTTGTTCAGATAAACTTAACATTAATTAATTCGCTTTTACACATGTATATTTTTGTATGCATATATAATGGAAAAATTAATTAATTATTATTAATTGTAAAAAGGCGCAATATCTTTCTTCTTCCACACTTTCGTTGTTGTTACAACACAATGTACATAAAGTATTAAAAAAACAAAAAAAAAAAACAAAAAAAAAACAATAACTATGCTAACAGAAAATACATTTTGGATAACTAAGTTTAGAAAGGCCTTATACCAATTAACATGGAAGTGTGTGTGTGTGTGTATGAGTGAGGGCGTGTCCTTGCATGTATTTATTTTACAGAAATGAAACGTCGCCAGTATAGATGTAGCTGGGATATATTTATACATATGTACGAGTATATGTGTATGTACTTAAGCATCCACATGAAGCTGTCGTCAGAATATACTTACATATACAAGTGTAGATATGGATGTATGTATATAAAGGTATGCCTTTTCGATTTATTATCTGATATATGTATGCATATAGTATGTGTGTATACCTAAAAGTCATTTCACATTTCACTGTAAATTTTTGCGTCTTTTGTCGCGCATTGGAGAGTTCCCACTAACTTCAGTTTGGGGGGCCATCTTTAAAGCTTTTGCAGCTCGGTACTGTCACTGAGATACTTGGACTTGACGATTTTGGGCACACGGTAGCCCAAATTCTCGTCGGGCTCCAACAGACCCTCCTCGTGCTTGGAGGCGCCGACGGCGTTGCTCGAAAGGAAAATGCGCGAGATGAGGGAGGTGTTGGAACGCTTAAAGTTAAGCCGACTGCCGGGTGGAGCTGGTAGATCATCGATGCCGCGATGCAGCGACAGATTGTCCAGTTCGGACTCGGAGTTGCGTCGCGCACGCTCCGCAGCTAAGTGCGCCTCGTACTCGGATGTGCGCAGCGTTTTCGCCGTCGGCTTCTTGTACAGCTTTAACAGCAACGAGGAACAGACCACACTCACTGAACTGGCGGCCATGGCCACCGAGGCCATCCAGGGCTGAAGCGTAAAGCCGAAAGGTGCGAATAGGCCCGAGGCCAATGGGATGCCCAGCAGATTGTACATGCTGGCGAACAGGAAGTTGTAACGTATGCGGCGGACGGTGCAGCGTGACAAGTCAAGGCAGGCCACCACATCCAGCAGATCGTTGCGCATGAGCACTATGTCGGAGGCCTCGGCAGCCACATCCGTGCCGGAGGCAATCGTAATGCCAACGTCTGCCTGCGCCAGCGCTGGACTATCGTTAACGCCGTCGCCCACCATTGCCACGCGCACGCCGTGCTGTTGAATGCGCTGAATCTTGGCCACCTTGTGTGAGGGCAGCACCTCCGCATAGACGGTCCGTATCCCCACCTGCAAAGAGCTTGTTAGTAAGGCCTATTCAATAATGGAATGGCGTGGCAATTTACTCACCTCTCGAGCTATGCTCGCCGCCGTGTTCTTGTTGTCGCCCGTCAACAGCACCACATCAATGCCCATGCGCTTCAGTGTGTAGACCGCCAGATGCGCTTCCGGCTTGACCATGTCCGAGACGGCGAACATACACACCAGCTGCCCGTTGAGTGCGCACAGCACCGCCGTATGTCCCTTGTCCTCCTCGCGCGTCATGCAATCGCTTATCTCGAGCGGCACCTCAATACCATTCCGATGCATCCACTCCCGATTGCCAATCAGCACGTGTATCTCGTGGCCATCGATGAGCTGTGGCGCCGGCAAGCCGCTGTTCACGCCATCGCCCGGCTCTATCTGAAGCAGTTGCTGCTGGGCCAGCTCCATGGACTTACGGATGTCCCGCTGCGGTATCAGCTCCTCGATGGTGGTGCCATTGTCCACATTTACGGCACTATTTTGGTGGGTGCGCCACAGATTCTCGTAGTTGATGATGCGCTCCGCATTGCATGCCTGGCGCAGGGTCTGCTCGTAGTTGGAGACGCTGACGCGAATTCCGCAGCCGGGCACTGCCTGGAAGTTCGAGGATTTGCCGAAAGTGGACACGCTCAGCATATCCTTGGCGAAGTGCACGATGGCCGAGGCGATGGGATGCTCGCTATTCTGCTCTGCCGCACCAATGATCGTCAAGGCACGGGCCAGACTGCAAATTTGCGGTTTCACGAACATCGTTACCTTCGATGTCATGGGTGTGCCGTGCGTTATGGTGCCGGTCTTGTCGAACACCACAGTCTTCACCTAAAAGGGAAGAGTGGTTTAGAAAAGAGTTGCTACAAAGAGAGAGGGAGAGAGAAAGAACATACTTTGTGCGCATTCTCCAGCGCTGTGGCACCCTTCACCAGCATGCCGTTAATGGCACCCGTGCCGGTGGCCACCATGACGGCCGTGGGCGTGGCTAGACCTAAGGCGCAGGGACAAGCGATAGCCAGCACACTGAGGGCACACTTGAAGGCGTAGCTGACGATAATCGTGTTCCGATCCATATGCATTTTGTGCTCCATGGCCACTGGCACCAGATCTGGATTGGCAAATCCCACTATAATCCAACCGATAAGTGTTATGCTGGACACGACCACAACAAAGGGCACAAAGTAGCCCGCAATGCGATCCGCCAGCTGCTGAATAGGTGCCTTAGATGTTTGCGCCTCCTCCACGAGTCGCACAATCTGTGCCAGCGTCGTATTCTCGCCCGTATGGGTCGCTTCCACGAGCAGCACGCCATTCTGGTTGATCGAGCCGCCGATAACAACCGCTCCCTTACGCTTTGCCACTGGCATGGACTCGCCCGTGATAAGCGACTCATCGCATGTGGAGTGGCCATAAAGTACCTTGCCGTCGACGGGCACCTTCGCACCCGGTATTACCTTAAGTATGTCGCCGCGCTGCACGTAGTCCACAGAAATGGTCTTCTCGCTAATGATGTCGAAGTCGGCGGAGATCTCAACGAGCAATGCATCGGCGGCCTTGAGCGAGAGCAGCTTCGATAGCGCCTCCGACGTTTTGCCCTTGGCAATGTGTTCCAGCCAGCGACCCAGTGATATGAATATCAGCAGCATGGGTGGCGTGTCGAAGAAGGTCAGTGGCGAGGAGTTCTGCTCCATAAGAACCGCCGCAATCACCACGGCTACCGAGTAGACGTACGAGATGGTTGTGACCATCGATATAAGCACATCCATGTTGGTTGTGCCATGCCTGATAGCTCGATAGGACTGCACGTAAAAGTGGAAGCCGCCGAAGAACTGCACCGGTGTGGAGAGCAGGAACATTACCAGATTCTCCATCGATAGACCTGGCACCAGACAGCACATGTTCGCATGCCCCTTGTCGCTCATTTCGAACATGAAGTAGATCATGGCCACCATGCAGGGGCCGCCGAAAATGAGCGAGATTAGGAAGGCGTTCCGCCACTTTTTTATCTCCTCCTTGTGCTCCAGATAGTTGTGCGCCATCTTGTCCCGACCGGTGAGCAGCTTGGCCTGAAAGCCAAGCTCCTCAATCGCCTCACAAATGCTGCGTGGTCCAGTGCTTTCAGTGCTGTAGCGGAATTTGCCTGCAATCGCAAAGACGGAGACAATTAGAAATCTGCAGGTGGGATAAGAATCAGGCACAAACTCTTCTATAATAGATCAAATGCAATTCTATTGTAATCCAACTCTCTAATCATTAAGTCAACTCTCTGCTTCGATTACTTATTAAGATATATCTTCTATTAAAATTCTCAGAAGACAGATATAGCGGACTCTTTTCACCCAACCATTAACAGCGGACAGCATGTGTGGGGCATTTCCATTTTGTAAAGGTCTCTTCCCAGAAAGCCTACGGGTTTTGAGGTTAAAGAAATACTAATATGGCTTACGTGTATTACAACTAACTACCAGGAAGCATTTTTACACACCTGAAATTGTCTGCTTCGATTACTTATTAAGATATATCTTCTATTAAAAGTCTCAGAAGAGAGATATAGCGGACTCTCTTCACCCAACCATTAACAACGGACAGCATGCATGTCTCTTCCCAGAAAGCCTAGGGGTTTTGAGGTTAAAGAAATACTAATGCGGCTTACGTGTATTACAACTAACTACCAGGAAACATTTTTACACACACATTAATGGTTATATGTAACTAGTTTTCAAGTCACTGACTCACTTAATGCGCAACTCAAACCGCAGAAGCCAGCAAGAGAAAAGTTTCTTTGGTATGTGAACACTAAGACTTGGCTTTAAAGTTTGTTTTTATCGGATTGACTTATTACTCGGTTTCTTTTTATAACCAGAAAAATAAAAACAAAATAAGTACCAGAGTCCATTTACTGGACTTCGATATATAGATCTTACAACCGATCTTGCTAAAAGTACTAAAAGTTTATGGCACACCCGATTGGTTAAATCTAATTGTAGGCTAAACAGTAGCTGAAAATAGTTCTCATCGCCAAAGAAACTGGACATTTGATTTCTTCATCAAGTATAACAGCAGTTGGAAGCCAAAGGTCCATACTTAATATCAAGGCTTTCTGACGATTTGTTTATGGTGTTTCAGAGTGGCCTCGACACATATTTCCAAATAAAATATAAAATAAATGCATACGCTCCCAACATTGCGCGGCTCGCCTTCGAAATGTAAGTCGATACACAGCTGTTGGATCAGTAAAGTCCAAGAAAAGTGAATAGTACTTATAGTCATGTATATCAAGTGTACAGATATAGTATCTTTTGGTGCCAATATCGAGTCAATTTTGAAATAATCGTGTACAACTTGCATAAGCGAGCCTTTGTGGGACCGCACATGTCGCATAAATACATAAAAAAAAATACATATACAGCGAAAACTCCCGTAACGGACACCTCTTTTAACCGGACACCCCTCTCAGGCGGACACTTTTTCTAGAGTATTCGTGTTGGTGTACTTTGTAGAGCAAGTTCAAGTTCGGACATTTTTTTTGGGCGGACGCGGACACTATTTTTCGAGAAATTCGAACTAAAGCCTCTTCATTAAGCTGATCATCCGTATTTACCATATTCTTTTTATACCCTGTACCCGTAGGGTAAAGGGTAAAAAGGGTATATTAGGTTTGGGCAAAGTATGTAACAGGCCGAAGGAAGCATCTCCCATCCCATAAAGTACTTGTATATATATTCTGAATCAGCATGACGAGAGAAATCGATCTAGACATGTCCGTCCGTCCGTCTGTCTGGATGAACGCATAGATTTCGGAAACGGCTGAGCCTACATAACCCAAACTTGGTATACATAATATATAATATCTATATTATCTGCTTTTGTTTCAAATTCCATCTAAATCGGTTAATTCTAAGAAAAGTTATTAGCGAAACAATTTCATCAAGTACGCTCTTCTTCTTCCTTTTGCTTCTGCTAGCGGCGCAAATACCTCAGTGTCGGAAGTTTACCTGGGTACAGGGTATTTCACGGTTGAGCTTACTCGACTGTAGCGTTCTCTCTTTTTATTTCTAATTATTTCTTTCTACATATAGCCATACAAGATTTTTGTAATATATCCTATTGCTCAGTTTTTCAAGATCAAAATAATAGTAGTTCTTAAACAAATATTGCAAATTAAATTAAATGTGTTGTCATTTAGCTCAGGAATGGTTAATTTTATAATAATTTGCAAACGTAGTGAATACCTGTTTTTTCTGCTACGGCTGAAGCCAAGCACTGCACTACCGAATAACAAGTATTTACCCCAGAATTGGTTTTTTGGGGAAAAAATATATTACGTAAAGGAATAGAATGGAATAGAATTTGCATCTTCATTTTTATATTCGATTATTATATGTAAATCACAAATACAGAAATTATAACTGATTTTTTATATTAAATAAAGTCAATTTATTTAAATCGCCAAAGTAGAACAATTAAATTAAGCAAAAAATTGAAAAAAATTCAAATTCGATGTATTAACCGGAGATTGCCCTTGGCCGGACGAATGTTGGTCGACGGTGGGTGTCTGGCCAAGAGAGGTTTCACTGTATACGAGTATATGTACGTATTCTGAAGCTGTGCGCGCTTTGTAGCTTATTTTGCATCGAATCGCCTTGGGTTTGAAAAGTAGACGTGAAATTGGAGCGCATAGCTGAATCTAATCTTTATTTTTTTGCAAGCGGTAACCGGCAACCATCAACCGGTTAGACTGGCGCTGGCAATGCGAGCGAGGCAATCGAAAAGCGGACTTGGACGCTTGCTCTTTGTGTGAAATGAACACTAAAAAACAACAACAACAACAACAACGGCATCTATGGGCGGATACAAAACGTATAGTAACAATTTACAGTACAAATAACAAATAGCAATAACAAAAAAAAAAGCAATTAATTCAGCTCGACGATTTCTATCACATACAGAAATATACAATATATGTACGTATGTGTTCCGACTCTACTGCACATAAATATTACTTTGTTGTTTTCCCTGAAACTTTTGCAAGCCAAATAACAAGCTAAGTGTTTGTCGAGCTACCCAAAACTATATAAAGGGTATTCCCAAAAGGTAACACTTTAAATGCTCCAAACATCTGCAACAAAGAAATATTATTTATATTTATCAGCACAGATATTGTTCATTGGTGGAGCGTCTAGTTGACCATCCAAAAAAAGCAATTATTGCTCAATTTGACTTCCCAACAGTTAACCAGTTTAACCATTCTTGTGAACGAGTCAACGTTGAAATCGTGCCAGCTCGGCCCTTGAATACCCTGTACCTCTGTTCTACCAATCATTCCTATGGCAGCTATATGATTTGGATAAGGTATTTTTAAAAACTCATTGGTTTCACTTGGCAACGATATTGTAGAGATCAAAATAGTTGTTCATACTACAGTAAGTGTGATGGCCGATTTTGATATCTGCCGACTTTTCAATATCTGCAAGCACTATAGAAGATTTGGAAATACAATATTTTTCAAGATATTTTTTTTAAAAAGTTTTCCTACCAATAGGGATTTTTACACCAATCCGTTCTATAGAAGCTATATTATTTAATGAGGCAATATACAGTTTTATAATAAACTTGCTCTGCGTATGGATAAGAAAAGCCGGTTCCTGATTTCTTAATAATTCATTACATTTTGGGCTTATCATACATTTTGTTTTAAATTCCTTATTCATAATGGTTGGGTCTACTGAGAGAAAATCGTGAATAAGATACAAAATTTGACATTTCGTTAAATATTTCCTTTTTAGGCCTAATCTTATTACGCTTTTCATACATTAGTATCTTCCATATACACTTAATTCTGTTTTTACACGGTTTGAAAATTAACAAGAGAAAACGCTACAGTCGAGCAAGCCCGACAGTCTAATACCCTGTACCCAGGTAAACTTCCGTCACTGAGTTATATGCGCCCATAGCAGCAGCAAAAAGAGGAAGAGGAGGAACGAACTTGATGCTGCAACTTGTGGGCGTAGTACTGAAGTAAAGTTGTTTCGCTAAAAACTTTCCTTAGAACCATCCGATTTAGATGAAATTTGAAACAAGTAGATAATTATATAGGAATTATTTGTGCAAAGTTTGGTTAGAGTAGCTTTTCAAATGTGGACGGTAATGACGAAATTCTGTAGCGGGGTAAGGGGGGGAAAATTAAAAAAAAAAAATAAACTCGTCCTTACTCGGACCTAGGAGAATCTGGATGCCAACTTTGGTTATTCTAGCTTTCATAGTTTCTGAGATCCTCGCGTTCATCCAGACGGACGGACAGACGGACAGACGGACGGACATGTCTAGATCGATTTCTCTCGTCATGCTGATCAAGAATATATATACTTTATGGGGTCGGAGATGCTTCCTTCTGCATGTTACATACACATGCACAAACCTAATATACCCTTTTTACCCTACGGGTACAGGGTATAAAAATTGTATACATGGTTGCACGATTTTATTCCATTTAGCACGATTCAAAATAACATAGGATCAATGTCTTTTTACACGTTTTTTCACGACTTTTTCTGGAACCAATCTACCGTGTAAAAACAGAATTAGTTGTATGTAAGTGCCGACAAAATAAATAGATATATTTACATACAAGTACTATACATAAAAGTAAAATAAACGGTAGCACATTTCGAACTACATTTTGTACTTTCGGCGTCTAAACTAAAACTCGAATCGTCTTTTGCTGCACTCAAAAACTGGATCTTTCTAATATTGGACTACTTGATGATTGTGTTGTTATATAGTGTTCTATAAAATCGAGCTGCGAGCACTTGACTTCTAATCAACCACAAGCATACCAAGGTATATTACAATTTGTGTACAACAATTTGTGATTATATGGAGTTTAATTAGAGTAATTATTTACAATTGAAAATCCAGGTTGGCTTAAATATTGAAGATTCAATATTTTAGTTTACGTCACATCAGCAATCTTCAAAAAATTCTCTAAATTTAAAAATACTTGACGTTCTGGAGAGTGGTGAATTAATGCTTAATACTTAAGCAGCTAATCTGATTTTTTAATCATTCTTCATAATAAAAGATAATGATTTTAAATTATAACATGATCTTGAGCCTATTCATTTGATTATGAAAGATACT